CATCTGCTCAGGACACATCAAGGACACCAATGAATAGAGAAACCTGAGACATAAAAACTGCAGTCAGGAATCAAAGTCAATATACAGTGTGAAATGAATGGAGCCTACTTGGCAAGACTGTCTCTATAAAGAAGCAGTATGAGGTTAGGACCAAGTTCTAGGCATAGGAATACTCAGGGGAAGATGAGCTAGTGAAAATGGAAACGGAGTGCGGGGCCTAATATGAATCTGCAGGTGTTAAGTCCTGTGTCGTGCATGTGGCTAACCCTGGTTTGATATCTGGCACTGCATATGGTCCCATATGGTCCCCCAAGCACCACCAGGAGTGATCCCTGAGCACAGAATCAGGGTTAAGCCAAAAACAAAAAAGCAGACAAGTGACTGTATAACTTGGCAACAAGGAGAACAATTATGACCAGGTAGGTAAAGAGTATTTTCAGTGGAACGCTAGAAAGGGAATTTCATTTCTGTGACTTAAGGGGCTAGAGCGATAGCACAGTGGTAGGGCGTTTGCCTCGCACGCAGCCAACATGGCCAACCCGAGTTCGATTCCTCCGCCCCTCTCGGAGAGCCCGGCAAGCTACCGAGAGTATTCGATATGCCAGACACAATAACAACAAAGTCTCCAATGGAGACGTTACTGGGCCCGCTCGAGCAAATCGATGAACAACGGGAGGACAGTGACAGTGACAGTGACTTAAGGGGGAGTGGGGGGGGAGGGAGTAGGAAGGAAGGAAGCACAGAAAGGATAAATACCATCAGTAAAGATAAGGATTACTTAGGGCCCAAGGATTTTTTTGTTGGTAGTGGTAACTGGACTTGTTTAGTAAAGATAGGAGATACAAGCATTTATTTGCATATTGGTAGGAAAGATCCAGGAGAGAGAAATTCATGATGCAAAGCAGAGGGTATAATTATAGAACAGTGTAAGTTGGAATATGTACCAGAACACAAAATTGGGTGGCTTATAATGGATGAAAACTGGAGAGTTTAGGAACGGTATTGATTGCCGTGTCCTTTTCTTAATTACCCTTTTCATTTCTATCAGAGTAGTTGTGGCTAATGCACATTTAAATCATCCTGATTTTTTTTTGTGCGTGTGCCCCTTTTTTCAATAACTTAAATCAGAAAGAAGCCCCAATTTTGTATCAGGTTTTTTAGCCTGAGTAAATTATGCTTTTTGAAGCCCTAGCCATACAGATTCATCCCCATTATAAATGCTGTCTCAGAGCAGATGACATCATGCTATGTAAGCCTCCTGCTGTCAGGGACCGGTGTGGGGGGCAGGGAGGGAGGAGAGCCACTCTAGCCTCCTCTTGACCCACCTCTTCTCCCTGGGGAAGGGCCCGAGAGGGTCAGATTGGGAAAGGCTGCCGGCATACCACTGCATCTGAGGGCCACTTGATCTACATAGCTTGGGACCTGGCTCCCATGACCAGCCTCAGGCTCTCATGAGAAATTCTCTTTGTGGGGAAAGGAAAGTGAGTCCCAATCTCTGCTCAGCTTCCCAGGTTCCTTGTTTATCCTCACAGAAAAGGATTTCAGGAGGAAATGGGGATGAATAGGGAATGTGAAGTAAAATCGTCTTATTTAAGAGATACGGGGTGCGGGGAGAGAGCAGTGGGCCCCCAAAAGTAAAAGAATGGAATCACAACCAAGTGAGCAATTCCAAAATGGGATTGTGTGTTGTTTGCTCTTCTAGTGTTTTTCTCAAAAGGTACCAGGGACTTCCTAAGTATTGTCAAGGGAAAAGGACTTTGAACTACTGGTGGTCTTTCAGCTCCCTATTTTAGGGCCGTATGTTCCCACTGAAATTTCTCCTCTTCTGAGAGGTCGACTTCCTTCCCTGGCTGGCACTGGTGTCATCCTCATGAGTATTCGGCATCATCCTGTCGGTCTTATCAGAGATCACTTTCTGTATCTCCAAAGGGAGTCCATCTCTTATGTAAATTCTGGGCTGCTTTGGGTTTGATATGAGTAATTTCTTTAGTTATGACCTAAAGTAATTGATGCTCAGGGCTTACTCCTGGCTCTGTACTCAGGAATTATTCCTTGCCATGCTCAGGGGACCACATGGGATGCCAGGGATCGAACCCCAGTTGGCCATGTGCAAGGCAAATGCCCTACTCATTGTACTGTCATTCCGGCCCAGATTCTATTACTTCCTGACACATACTGCCTGCCTTACTTACACACTAATCTTGGATGCAGGTGTCTTTCTAGATACTGTACACAATCAAATGTAATGTGGTGCACATTAATGAAATACAACCATCTCCGTTGAGCATTCTTTACCGTTAAGAAATTTGCATTTAAATTAAACTGCAGGGTAAGAATGCCAGATTTTGGCCGAAGCAACATTTTTTTCTATTTTTCTGTAGAAAAGTGAACTGAAAGTATATTTTACCCCAGAATCCATCTCTTATGTAATTCTAGAAGATCCTTACCCTGTAACTTAGGCATGCTGTGAAATGGGGTTTTCTGGCCAAGTCTGAGGACTTCTCCGAAGGTGTTACTGTCTGTGTGAGCTTCCTGTCTTCCTGTCTGCAGCTAGAAACTCTGCCCCCACACTCCCTGGGCATGCTAGTAAAAGGGAAAATGGCTCTTGCCTTTTATCTTTCCTATTTGGTCTTCTTCTGACTCATAAGAAAATTATTAACATTTTTAACTTTTTGATCATTCAGTTTAGCATCTCACGTCTGAATAATTATGGTTTAGTGTTTTATAGAGTACAGACCTTTCATCCTGAGGAATTTGTATGCAGAAACAGGTCACTTAGGTCTAAACTTCTTCAGCTGTGGGTCACAACCCCACAAGGGCAGGGGGTGGGAGGTGTCATGTAACTGAATATGAGGAATGCAGAAATTTTTTTTTTATTAAGTTCTGACTCCTGGGCCAGAGCAGCTAAGGTGCTTGCCTTGCAAGCATACAACCTGGGTTCACCGATGCCCGGCACCCTCTATGGACCCCCAAGCTTTGCCAGGAGTGAGCCTTGAGCACCTCCAGGTATGGCCAGACTAGCTACTTGAGAGGCCATTTGGAGGCTGTTTTTGCTCTGGTGACTTCTATAATGGTCACGGTCACGGTCCTCCCGTTGTTCATCGATTTGCTCGAGCGGGGTGTCACTAAATACCACTTTGTTTTTTTAGGTACTTTTTCTCCCCTTCTCACTTTTATAATAGGCTATGCTCAGTAAAAGAGGTGGGGGAAGGAAATCATGAAACATCTATTGTAGACATTTACATATCTGTCACCTTTCCTCAGGGATCATGTGCTCTCTTGGAGGGGAGTTGGAAGTATCTTTTCTGAGGAGGGTGAGTCTTAATGATGGTCAGATACTTTCAACTTGCCTACAGACTTCCTAATAACCACTTTAAAAAGAGAAACAGCTCAGTGTAAGAATATTCTAGAATTTTAGTGGCATATCTAATGACACTTTTTGTTTGAATAAGGTAATTGATATGTAAGTGTCTACTCCATAATTAAAATGAAGAATTTGCCTTGGTAGGTATTCCCTTATAATGAGGAAAATGACTGATTCTTCTCTTAACTGGGTATTTTACTTTTCAGTAATCGGTGAGAGTAAAATCATTTCTGTGGAGAAAAATGAAAAAAATCTAAGAATATATTTAGAAATACTTTATGCATCGCTCTCCAGACTTCAGTGAGCATCTCATGATCATTATTTTATTTTTTCTTCTAGGTAAATCATTTAAATGGGCTTGTAGAGATTTCTGTGAAACTTTTGTTTGTAATATATTCCCTGTTCTTCATTTTCCTTGACACTTTGTGCTGGTTTCTGTGCATTAACCAACCCTCACCCCAGCCCCAGTCTTCACTGAGTGTCCTGATGTTGAAGTTAAACTTCACTATCCAGCTTGGTCTCTCAGTCCTCTGTGATTGTTCAGGTGGCTGTCATAATTCAGACAGGAAAGAGCACTGTTAGCACCTGTGTGGAAGGTGTCTTGAAGCGGGTCCTCCAAGCAACCTCTGCCAAGTATGCAGTTAGGCCCCTCCCAGAGGGAAGCCAGGCACCAGGCAATTTTTGCTGGCTCTGTATGCTGAGCCCAGGGGTATAGCCACTGGTGATATGTTCCTTTATCTCTTTAAAAACTGCTTCTTGTTTGTTACCACTTAATGGGATTTGTGAATGCAAGCTCCATCGGACAGTCTGATGGTCTGTCTCTTAGGTGAAAGCCACAGACGTACAGAGAAGCTCCTTCCAGAGGGTGCTGGAGGACTGGTTTTGTTGTTAGAGCAAGCCAAATGGAGAAAGAAAGTCAAGTGTTCAGTTAAGCCCTGGGTTCTGTGAAGGAAGGATCACAGCTAGCCATCAGAGTTGCACTAATGAAGAATCCAGACATTCCCAAATATAGACAGACCCCTTCCGTGGGAAGACAAGGAGAAAGACACCCTTGCCCTTGGCACTGAGCCTTGGTAGGATAGTCATCACTAGGTAGCACACCCACCAGGAGCTATTTCTTTGGGCCAGGATTGTATTTAGTGATAGAACACCTGCCTTGAATCTATGAGGCCAGGTTTGATCGCTAGCACCACACATGAAAATAAGAACTTCTTCTTTGCTTGCTATAGTCTTGTATGTCTCATGAACCCAAGCTAAGTATTGGCGGTGGGAAGGGAGTGGGGGGCATTAACTTCTCCATCATTTAACTTCTACATCATTAACTGCCATCCCTCAGTTGTCTGTCTTAAAAATGGGTGCAAGAAGTATAGTCCGGGCCCTTAAGGATTCAGGGAAGAAGCCGAAGCTCAGAATTTACCTCTTTCAAGTCTTTTCTACCCAGTGCGATGCGAGAATTTTCCCTTTGCCCAGTAGCAGGAGTCAGTCTGTTGGTTGCTGGGCTTCAGAAGGCTGTTTCTTTCCTGACGTTTAGAGTTCAGTGTCTCTGAGGAAATAAGTTTTAGAAGGTGCCTGTGTTACCTGCCATCTTGTTCCCTCCTTGCCAGTTTTACTTTTCCTTTCTTTTTTTTCCTCCCAGAAAGAACTAGAGAGGCAGAAGAGAATTAAGAGGAATCAGCAGCTGGAGGCGATAGCCAAAGAACATTATGAAAGGGCCTTGCTGAGGAAAAAAGGTCTGGAACCTTGGAAGAAATTAAGAATGCAAAGCAAGCAAAACCTACAGGTAGAGTCACACACTCTTAAACCCCAAGTCAGAAAATGAACTTTTCATATGGGATAAATACCTAGTTAGGCCTAGACAAATGTTTGGTGGTTTTGAAGCAAGAAAGCTACGTAAATTATTTATATTTCTCTTTGGGATAAGATTAGATTTGGTCTTCGAAGGTAGACTGTTCCTCTTCATCTCTTTTTTTTTTGCTCCTTATTCTGACTATAATGGAGCTGTGTAACATTCAGAAACAAAATAGAATCCATGAATGATTAAGCAAATTATTATTTATTGACTTTTTGCAAATCATTTTTTAAAGTTTATACATAAGAATGTAAAATTAGGAATAAGAGTTTGAGACCAAAATGACAGTAATAAGCAATTAAGATAGGAAGCCCCAGTTAAATAAAAAACAGGAAAACAGAGACTTGAAACCAGCATTTCCTAAGTTGCCCTTTCATAAAGCCACTTGGGAAACTTAGCAAAAGGCATATGCCAAGGTTGGTGGCTGGGGGGGCATGAGGATGGCTGTGGGTGGGGGTTGTCCCAGAATCTGCATTTCTGAAACAGGCCCCCATGGCATTCTGATGCAAGTCGTCTGAGTTTATGTTAAGAATCTTCTTTCTAGTTCATTAAAGGCATTTTTCTTACTGCTGTTTCTGGCAACCTGTTATAACAAAACCTGTGGCATAAATTTGTAGTACAAATTCTCTAAAAATGTCAGAGGTCAGAAGTCCAAAATCACATTTACTGAGCTAAGGTCAAAACCCTGAGCTGGAAAGAGCCCCTATGCCCTTCAGGGTGTGTCCCTCACCAGAACCTGTGTCCAGTTTAAACCGTTTCTGGGTTATTTGTGACATTTTTCAAACAAGCTGCTAAGAATTTTCCTGCAACTCATTCCCTTCAAGTCAAGCATACCTTATGCCTTGTTCTCTAAGAAACATTTGAGATCTTGTAAGGGACTTTTTGATGGTAATGCCTTCCTACGTCTGTTTTCCGAGAGGTTGAACAAGGAAGAAATGCAGGAGGGAGCATGCTTTTCTGATCACCTTGCTCTTGGGTTCCCACAGTAGGATGAATTGACACTGACAGGGGCCGAGAGGCCACAGACCACCCGTTCCCATCTCTTTGGCTTACTCAGTGTGACTGCCACGAGTCTCACTGAGATCCTTCACATCCAGAGATCTGGGTGGCTAGACAAGGCTTAAAAGTGTCTTTAGAGAATCCCGAGACAGGACTTGGCATCAGCTGAGCTGTGTGCGTATTTTGATAAACTGAACCTTTTAAGTTGGTAAGATACTAAATTATTCATCACGCTATATTTCTATGAGACGGTCTTGTGGTTTATTGATAATGTCTAAATTTTAGCGCTGGTGACAGCTCATTTTTGCAAAACCAAGTGAAAGTATTGGCATTTCCTCAATTCTAGAGTGGTTAAGTACATAATAGAGGTTTGTTATGGAGTTGTGTCTATGCTTGGAGAGCAAACCAAAAATGCTGCCAGCTACCCATTGCAAATCTCAGCCTGTGTGAAGCACAGAGTTAGGAGTAAGCCCTAAGCACTGCCAGGTGTGGCCCAAAAGCCAAAATTTAATAATGGTTTGGGAGATCATTCCAGCTCTGCGATATTTGTATTCACTGTGGTCTTCAAGATACCTTTCAGCACTGAAAACGCCATGAATGATAGAAATCTAAAACCCTTCAGAAGAAGGGTCACTTTTGACTTTTGAAAAGATAAAGCTTTTAGTCAGAGGCTTGCTTTCCTTAAGCCTATCCTCTCTAGTGCCCGCCATTGTGATGGGGAGCATTACTTGCCAAAGGGATGTGGGTTTCTTTAAATGCCGGAAGATCTAAGGAATAACTCTCTTTCCTCATTCAACACTTGTCAAGGTCGCCAGAGAACACTACTCTCTGGCCCTCCAGAGGAAATGCCTGCTCACCTGGTTTCAGTGGAGTCAGGAAAACGTGGCCGAGAAGACAGCACGGAGTGATCAGTTTTATTCACAAATGCTGCTCCGGAGAGCTGTCCGGCGCTGGGCACAGGTAGGTCACAGGAAAAGCAGCTTTGAGGACACAATTAAGTTCCACAGACAGAAATGAGGTGTCATTTATAATATCCATATTCTCTCCTTACACGACCAATACTGTGGCACCAGAGAGATGGGACAGCAGTGGTACAGACACTCTGCCCGTGCATGTGGCTGACTCCGGTTTGATCCCAGCACCTGATATGGTCCCCTGAATCCTGAGCCAGGAGTAAACCATGAGCATCATTGGGTGTGGCTCAGAAATGAAGAAACAAACAAGAACAATATTGATTGGTCAGTTCAGTTCACTGGTCTGAGATGAATTTGAAAATGTTGATTTTTTAATACCAAACTTTTAAAAAAAATTTTTGGGTGGTGCCAGGGGTTGTATCTGGGGCCAAATCTAGAAATGCTTTGGGATTACTCCTGATTCTATACTCAGGAATTACTCCTGGTGGTGCTCGGGAATCATATGGGATACCAGGGATTGAACCCGGGTCAGTCGCATGCAGGCACCCTACCTGCTGTACTATCATTGTGGCCCATTAGTATCAGATCTTTTTTGTTTTGTTTTTTATTGAATCACAGTGAGCAACACTTAGAAAGCTTTTGTGTCTGAGTTTTAGTCATAACGATCAAACACCCATCCCTCCACCAGTGCACATTTTTTCACCACCAGTGTCCCCAGTATAACCCCTGTTCCCCACTCTTCCCCTGCCTCTATGACACAATTTCCTCCATATTCTCTCTCTACTTTTGGGCCTTATAGTTTGCAGTACAGATACTGAGAGGCAATCGCATTTGGTCCTTTATCTATTTTCAGCACACATCTCTTATCCTGATCTATCCTTCCAACGACTTAGTGATCCCTTCTCTATGCCAGCTGCCTTCTCCCCCCAGCCCATGAGGCAGGTTTCCAACCACGGAACAATCTTCCTGGCCCTTGTCTCTACTGTCCTTGGTTACCAATCTCATGTTATTTTATATTCCACAAATGCGTGCAGTCATTCTATGTCTGTCTTTCTCTTTCCGACACATTTCACTTAGCATGATACTCTCCATGCACTTATAAGAAAATTTCATGACTTCATCTTTCCTAACAGCAGCATACTATTCCATTGTGTAGATGTACCAGAGTTTCTTTAACCAGTCATCTATTCTCGGGCACTCAGGTTGTTTCAAGATTCTGGCTATTGTGAACAGTGCTGCAGTGAACATACAGGTGCAGATGTCATTTTTACTGTCCTTTTGGCACCCTCGGGATATATTCCCAGAAGTTGTATTGTGGGGTCATATGAAAGCTAGTTTTTGAAGGAGTACCCACATTGCTTTCCAGAAAGGCTAGACCCAGTCGGCATTCCCACCAACAATGAAAGGGCATCCCTTTTCTCCTGCGTTCACAGCAGCACTGGTTGCACAAAAGCATTTCTTTTTATTGTGTGTCAGTCACTGTGGTGATGATATCTAATTGTTGTTTTGATTTCCATCTTCCTGATGATTAGCGATGTGGAGCATTTTTTCATGTGCCTTTTGGCCATTTGCATTTCTTTTTTTGAGAAAGCTTCTGTTCATTTCTTCTCCCCATTTTTTGACGTGTTTGGAGGCTTTTTTTCTTGTACAGTTCTTCTAGTGTCTTGTATATCCTGGATATTAACCCCTTATCAGATGGGTATTGGTAAAAATTCTTTCCGATTCCGTGGGCTGTCTCTGTATTTTGGTCAGTATTTTCTTTGAGGTGCAGAAGCTTCTTAGTTTTATGTAGTTCCATTTGTTTATGTTTGTTTCCACTTGCTTGGTCAGTGGTGTTTCATCTTTAAAGATATTTTTAACTTTAATGTCATGGAGGGATCTGCCTACATTTTCCTCTGTGTACCTTATGGATTCAGGTCTGATATTGAGGTCCTTAATCCACTTTGATCTGACTTTTGTGCCTGACATTGGATAGAGGTCAGAGTTTTTTTGTTTTGTTTTGTTTTTGTTTTTTGTTTTTTTTGCAGGTAGCTCTTCAGTTTTCCCAGCACCACTTGTTGAAGAGGCTTTGCTTGTTCCACTTCACATTTCTTGCTCCTTTATCAAAGATTAAGTGATCATATATTTGAGTCTGTGACAGGATATTCAATTCTGTTCCACTGGTCTGCAGGTCTGTTTCTAGCCCAGAACCATGATGTTTTAATTACTATTGCTTTGTAGGAGTACAGTTTGAAGTTGGGGACGGTGATGCCACCCATCTTCTTTTCCCCGAGGAATGCTTTAGCTATTCGTGCAGTACCGAATCTTAAAGCACATTTCTTTTCACATTCATTGTTCATATCTACTTTACAAATTGAGCAAACTATAATATATATCTCCTTTTTTTTTCTTTAAATAGAGGCCGGGGGCTGGAGTGATAGCACAGGGGTTAAGCCATTTGCCTTGCACACGGCTGACCCGGGTTCGATTCCCAGCATCCCATATGGTCCCCTGAGCACTGTCAGGGTAAATCCTGAGTGCATGAGCCAGGAGTAACCCCTCTGCTTCACCAGGTGTGACCCAAAAAGCAAAAAAAATTTTTTTTATAAAAAATATATTTTTTATATATGAATATATCCCTAGCCATATATTCATTTCTTGTTTCTTATCCCACAGTGGGCGAGATACTCTCGGTAGCTTGCCGGGCTCTCCGAGAGGGGCGGAGGAATCGAACTCGGGTAACTCAAATCATTTAGTCAGAAACACCTCAAGCCTCAAACCTGTTTCTGTCTCTCTTCCATTTTTGCAGTCCATCACAGAGGATCTTCTCTTGGCTCCCATGCGACCCTCTCTTCTCTTTAGGTTTGATTTCTCTCTCCTTTGTGCTCTTCTTTTGCTCTCATTCTTTGTCGTTGATGACATTTACCTCTCTTCCTTCCTGCATTCCCAGCATTTGGCTGATATGAAGGAAGAAATACAGAAGATACGTGAGCATTTTCTTCAGAAGAAGATTTTCAGGGCTTGGTGGAACGCAGCCAGGAAGGCCAAACTCCAGTCTCAGAGGAAGCAGGAGATTGCAGCACAGCACCATACCAGGTGAGATTTTTATCTCTAGGGAAATTCAGTCCTTTTTCTGCAGTGTGTTCTGTGCCCGGTAGGTGTCTGGAACGAGGAGGTGGGGACGCCACTGATTAGGGAGTCAGGGCAGGCTAGTGCCCATCCCGGAACTCCCGTGTCTCAGTCTTTTTTTTAAAAAGATGGGGCAGAGGACGTCTGCTCTATCTTTCCTGGAGACTGGCAAGAGAATAATAAAATCAGAGCAAAGACATGCAACATCCCTAAGCACTGGGTGATGGTGGGGGGGTGTTCTTTGTTTTTACTTTTTTGTGGTGCTGGAGATCAAACCCAGGATCCCACAGATGTGAGGCAAGTTCTCACCCCCAGCCCTGCACCATTCGGTTTATCTTTAGCTTCAGTTTCTTTTTTAAAACGTTGTTCGCTGTGAAATACAAAACCAGTACAGGACAGTGTTTAAACCATGTTAAACACAACGGTTGCTGCTGTCCCCAGGGGCGCCTTCCCAGTTATAAGCTAGCCACTCCGACCCCAATGTTTAAGTATTGGCTCTGCGCTCGGGAAGCACCCGACATGCCAGAGATCAAACCCAGGTCAGCCACATGCAAGGCAAACGCCCTACCCGCTGTACTATGTCCTCTTGTCTCTCTTGTCACTTTCACGATGAAAACGTCTCTGTGTTTTTGTTTACTTTCACTCCTCTGTATGCAGCCATTGAGGTGACAGCTTCATTTTGCCTGGTCTGGACATTTGCATAAGTGAATCATACTGTACACCTTGTTAGTATTTATAGCACCATATTTCACTCAGCATACTTTGTGGGAAAATGTTCCATAAGTTTTTTGTTGTCTAAGTTTAAGCATTTTGCTGGGAATCGAACTTGGGTCAGCTGCATGCAAGGCAAATGCCCTACCTGCTGTGCTATCATTCCAGCCCCTTAGTGTAAGCATTTTGGATAGAAATATTCGCCAGTTCATTTTGTACTTCTCTTTGAGCCAAGACAGATGACCTGCTTTTGCTAGTGACGGAGTGCCTTTCCTTGTGAGCAGGATGTAGTGGCCCTTTGCCTTGAGCTCGGAGATGTGAAGTTTGTTGTGTCGAAAAGTGGCCTTTACTCACACCAGGTCTGTTTATGGCTGCTTGGTTTTCAGTTGTGTCTCCCCCTCTCTCTTGCTGCCCTCCCTTTTCCCCCAAAGTTTTCTTACCTTGTTGCCACTTGGTTTGATTTATCAGGACGAAAATCTGTGGGCTAGGAAGTCCTGACTTCCCCGTTCTAATTCTGTCTACATTTAAAAGGTTTTTAGAAGGTGTTCAGAGCACTTGCCTTTGCATAAAAGCTTGTGCAAATAAGCAAACACAGCCCAAGGAACTCAAACAGCACACGGAAGAACTGGATTCCAAATCAGGTGCTTGGACTTCAGCCATTCTCTTCCTGCTTTATCAGAATTCTATCCTGATTTTCTCATTCAGCCTCACTTATAAACATGATGGCTTTCAAGAGCGTTGCTGTGACGTCATCTCTTCCCACCTGGCTCCCTTGGGCCCTCTCGACAGTGTTGCTCTGACAGACAAAACTGAGGTCTTCTTCAGAGTGTTCCCCCTACCCGCCTCCCTGCCTCCCCGTTAACCTGCTCTCTTCTCAGCACACAGGACTCTGAAACGACAGAGCATGTTGTTGACATGCTTACTGCCTGTCCCTCCCAGCAGAGTGCACATGCCATGTCTCGCTCCACTTGTGTGTTCTCATGCAGAGAAGTGCCTGGTTCACAGTGGGTTTTACTGTGGGAGTAGCCTGATTTTTTAAAGCGTTCTGGAGGGGCTGGAGCAATAGTACAGAGGGTAGGGTGTTTGCCTTGAACACGTCCAACCCGGGTTCAATCTCCAGCATCCTATATGGTCCCCTGAGCACCACCAGGTGTAATTCCTGAGTGCAGAGCCAGGAGTAACCCGTGTGCATCGCCAGGTGTGACCCAAAAAGCCCAAAAAAATTTTAAAAATTAAAAATAAAGCCTTCTGGAGGAATTTCAATATCAAAACCCTGCTATTTGGGGCCGAGATGCTGAAGGGAAGGCCGGGATCCTGGTCCCCTTCCTGAGCCAGGGGGAACTGAGCACCCCTGGAGATAAGCCCCAAACCAAAAGAAATTAAATAAAATGGAAATGTGATGTTCAAGTTTGAATTTTAGATGAAAGAATATTATGTAGAAAAGCTGTTAATAAAACAAGTGAAGATATCCATTAGTCTGGTGCCTGACCTCTATACTGCAGTGACACTGGGGAATATGATTCTTAATAATTGTGAAGTCTCCAGAAATTAAAAAAAAAACAGAACTACTATATGATCTAGCAACTTCACCCCTAGAGATCTGCCCAAACCTCATAAAAACACTAATCTGAAAAAAGTACATGCACCCAGAACTATTTATAATAGTTTGGAAGGTTTGGAAACAACCCAGACACCGCATGACAGATGAGCAGATGGAGAGTACGGGTGCACACCAGCCCGCGCATGTGCACAGTGGACTCTTACCATCATCACCTTCAGCGGAAACACGGACAGAGCTAGAGGGGTCATACTAAAAGGATTATTTTCCTTAGGATAAAGAAAAATACAGGATGATCTCACTCATAGGTGCTGTATAAAGAAGAGCAAGGGAATAGACCACGTTCAATGAAAGAAAACATCATTAGACTCTGACCACAGAAGTTAGCAGGTTTGCAAGCAGGAAAGGAGTGAGCTAAAAGTGTGGTGGCATTCCAGTGTACTGTGCTGGAGGGACAGTGACGTTCTGGCAGTGGGTACAGTATGGCAAACATCAACCCCCCCCATCCCTCACCCCCACCCCACACACCTTAAACTCAAAATTCATAAACATCTACAGTTCTGGGGCCAGAGAGGTAGTACAGTGGGCAGGGTACTTGCCTTGCACCAGTGGACCCAGATTTGGTCCTTGGCATGTCATACAGTCCTCCAAGCCCAGCCAGGAATGTCCCCTGAGCACAGCCAAATGTGGGACAATAAAAATTTCTAAAATAAGTTTTTAATTTAAAAAAAAACTACAGTCCTGTAAGCCATTGTTGCTTCAAAAGATAATTAAGAGTTTGGGGACGTGGTTCAGTAGTGGAGTGCCTGCCTCGCAAATGTGAGGCACTGGGTTCGAAAGAGAAAAGGCTTAATTTTATATACCCATGCAGTTCCAGATATATATAATTTATCATTATGTAGTAATTTGTAATTGTGTAACTCTGGTATTTTATACATAGCAGGCATTATGGGTAATGTCATTTTCAGTAATTATTTTGTAGTTCGGCAGCCAGAGCTCAGCTATACACTTGTCCGGCTCTTTTCAACTGAACTAGCACTTCTTATATTTGAAGTTCCTTGGTACTCTAGTTCTCAACCGCTGTGGAGGCCCGGACCACTTTGAGAGTTCTGACTTGCACCCTGGACAAACATACACATGCATATCATGTACAAACTAACACCAAGTAGATCTCGCACCAAGTGGACCTCAGGTTAAGAATGTTTGTTTTAGTACTTAAATCACATCTATTACGTAATACAGCCACATGTAATTTATCAAGAATTGTCAAGCAAAACAAACCAACCCCAAAACAAACCTAACGACATGGAGTCTGACTGATAATGGCGAAGAAATCATGAGAAACTAATAGACTAGAAATAAATGCCAAACGCATGATTGTCCGGGACTTTCCTGAAAATCAGATCAAATATACAGTTTGATCTTGAAAGAGAAACGTAGGCAAAGATTATCTGGAAAGATATCCCCACAGGCAGAGCATTTCAGTTTGGATAAAACCGCCAGAGCTAAAATGTAAATGTCAGCATAGTGTAGTCGGGAAAGAGACGCGCACGGCAGGTCAGAGATGGGGAAAGACCCAGTGCTGCAGGAGGAGAGGAAAAGTGAATGAAAGCAGCTCCACTCATGAGGGCCTATTTGTCTTCAACTTAATAGCAGTGTCACCATCATTATCAGAAGCACTGGCCACAGGAGAGATGCCAGGCCTTCCAAAGAGGGGGAGAAAGCCAAAAGAAACCCATTCTATCTCCCAATTTCTGAAAATACAGATTTAGTTACTCTGCACCTTCGTTTGAGTAGCCTAACTCTTCCTCCTAGTCTTGCTTCTTGGCCTTTTTCCCCCCAGAACTTGTCCCCATCCAGGAATGTGTCCTCTTATACCCGACAGAAATCAGTTCAGATGTGACTCTCTCCAAAGATTTGTTTCATTTTGGGCCACATTTGGTGGTGCTTAGGGAGCAACTCCTTTTCTTGTTGGGGTTGCCAGGTGTGGTTCAGGTGACGATGCAAAGCTTGAGCAGCTCTCCTGTGAGGTCTCTCCCTGGGCCTGCAGAACTTCTGCTGCTCCTCACCCCACCGGGGTGCAGACTGTGCTCCCCTCGTCCCCCGCGAGTCATGTGCTCACTGGCTGACTCCCGCCCTGCAGGGGCAGGCACATCTCCTGGCTGAACCTTCCTTTGCCTTTGCTCAGTGCTTTGGGCCTTCCCTGTGCCAACAGATATCCTTGTCTCACCATGCGTCTCCAGAGCGTTTCTGTGGCTGATGGTACAGAATTCTTTCGCAACTAAAGATCAAGGCTTTTGTTGTTGGTGGGGGAGGTAGAATGCAGCGGGTGTTTGAAACTGTGTATTGCTGAACACCAGGCCTAGAAGCTGGAAAGCCACAGGCTGATGTCTGCTGTTGTGGCATCTCACCTCAGCCTTGAGGGCTGTGGTTGACCCCTTGTCTCACGCTCCAGGTGTGACTGCTACTGGGCAGGGAGTATCTCAGTGCTGCATTATGTGTGGCTGCTAATTAAATGTCAGCTTCCCCCAGCGTTTCCCCGACTACCTGATAGAAAATATAGAAAATAAAAAGGCCCTGTTCCTGCCATCCTTGGATTCCTTTGTACTCTTCACAGCGGCTCTCAGCCTGGAGCTGTGTTGTTGGTTTCCATCCCTTTGATCCACACAAGCGTTTTCCTAACATCTTCTAATGTACTTCATTCAGCTGGGCAGTCCGATTTTCCTTACAGTTCCACTCCCCGCTTCTCTTCCTGTAGGAGGATTGTCTGGATTACATTTCAGACATGGAAGACATTCACAAGACTTATGAAAGAGGAAAGGGTGAAAGAAGAAAGGCGAGAGCAACTCCGCAGGAAGGTGGCTGAAATCCTTCCAGACTTCCGGGCGCCCTCCCCACCCTGACCGTATCAGCAGATGCAAGAGACGTCCTCCTCTGTGTGCTGGTGCACACAGCCTCCTCCAGTGCTCAGGACGAGTTGCCCCAGGTGTCTGTCGATCCCTGCATCTATGTGGCTGACGTTCTGTCCAGTGCACCTTGAATCAGATGAATTATTCGGGAGAACACATACTTTTATCTTTGATGTCTCTTGGATTGCTAATCAGTGTTCCAAAGCATTTATCACAGTGGGAACACCCAAAGGAACAGTCTAGAGCTCTACTGTTCAAATATATCCTATATATTTTTAGCATTGTAAACTTTAAAAAAGCCAAGTGTTTGCTGGCTTGAGCCTGTGAAGAAAATGTGTCCTTATGGCTCAGTATGAGTTTCTGACAAATGTAACTTTAATTAAACAGAAATGAAGTACAGTAATTGGGGTCAGGGATATATCTCAGTGCTGGAGTGCATGCTTCACATGTATGAGGCCCCGTGTTCTATCCCTGACAGCGTCCCTCCCCCCCCAACCCAAACCAAACATACTGAGTCATTGTCACTGTGGTCAGTCTTCAAGAAGCTCAGCATCAGCAAATGGCCAACAGATTCTAGCTGACCCTGTGCCTTTGACCCACCCATCAGGAAACCATATATCAGGGCTAGAACAATAGTACAGAGGTTGGCTATTTGCCTTGCATGTGGCCGACTCAGGTTCAATCCCCAGCATCCCATACAGTGCCCCGAGCACCACCAGGAGTTAATTCCTAATGCAGACCCAAAAGTAACCCCTGAGCATTGCCAGATATGACCCAAAAAGCAATATATAAATAAAATAAAGGAGACCATATATCACAACCACATACATATAATGCTGCTGCAAAGATCAGAGAAAGGCCCCGAAGACTCCTCTCTCCAAGACACCTTAATATGCGTGAAGGGAATCCCAAAAGCTAATGTCTATCGGGCTGGAGCTATAGCACAGCGGTAGGGCGTTTGCCTTACAAGCGGCCAATATGGCCAGCCCGAGTTCGATTCCTCCACCCCTCTCGGAGAGCCCGGCAAGCTACCGAGAGTATCTCGCCCTCACGGCAGAGCCTGGCAAGCTCCCCATGATGTATTCGATATGCCAAACACAGTAACAAGTCTCACGATGGAGATGTTACTGGGCCCACTCGAGCTCGAGCAAATGTCTATCAAAAGCAAGCCAGCAATTCATTAAAATGCCTGGTGGTGATCCCAGATACAAATTCTAAACAAATGAACCTGATTGGTCTGCTCCACAGCTCAAATCCGTTTGATCTACACACCCAGACTTAAAAGACTGAGGAAACACTCCCTTCTTTGAACTCTCTTGAACTGCCTGCCAGTAAAGTTATTTCATTACAAGCATATGCTAATTACAGTAAATTCGAGCTGTCAATAAATGAACACAACAAAACAAAGTCCCTTGAAGCCTTGAGGAACTATTTGGTAAGTTGAAAATCTGAAGTGGTAAATAAAATTGTGTTCAGTTATTTTCTCTCACTTCCTGGAAAGAATATCTGGCTTTGGGACTGGAGCAATGGTACATAGTGGGGAGGGTGTTTGCCTTGAATTCATCTGACCCGAGTCGATCCCTGGCAGCCCATATGGTCTTCCAAGACTGCCAAGAGTGATCCCTAAGCACGGAGCCAAGAATAAGCTCCAAGCACTGCCAGGTGAACCGACATCCAAAAATGGCTTTGCCACTTACAAAAATAAGGTACAGCTTTTCTGTGGAAAGACGTATGAGCTACTGAGTTAAAAACTTAACATCCTAAATTTACCTTTATTTCTACCTTTATTTCTTTAATAACTCAAGACAGTTAATGATTTTACAGTTGTCATCTATAAACTGTCTCTGTTTTGTGCCACACCTAGCTGGGCGTATTCCTGGCTCTGTGCTCAAGGATCACTCCTAGTGGGGCTTGGGGACCTATCGTCTATGGTGCCAGAAATCAGACTTTGGTCAGCTGCATGCAAGACAAGTGCTTTATCCACTGCACTTATCTCTCCAGTCCCTATAAATTCTTTCAAAGACCACTAAAGAAAATGGTGGTCTTTAAATGACTGAAAGCAACTCATTTACCAGTTTACAGTTAACTATAGAGTTACAGAATATTAACTGATACTAGCATCCAGAAATCAAGTAGCAATTTTATTTCGGTGCTTGTAGAATAAAAGAGGGTGAATAAAAGATGCTTTTTAAAGAAAGCACTTTATTTCCATTTAAACAACGTGGTCACAGTACACTTTTTACATAAACAGCAGTAATTTTTTAAATCTCCATTTAAAAGGCCTTGGGTCAAAGTCTGAGATGAGAAGAGGCATGAATACAAGTATAAAAAAGTGCAAAACATCTGGCCCCTCAGCCTCCAGACACCTCCTGTAGTTGTTGCGAGGCCATATGCATGAAGTATTAAATTTAGTATTAGGTAAGATTCCAGGTTCCCTTTAGTCTAACAGAAATGCATTCAGATGAAAAGGCTCAAAATCCCTGACAGCTTGAACCATCAAACAGCAAAGCCATAGACTCACACGTTGGCTTACAGGGTCTGCACATGGCATCTTGTCAGTGGTGCCATTGAAGAAATCAGGAAATTTAGTTGCATCAATAACTCGAATAGGCTGGCTCTGCTTTCAGAGCTTTGTACTCAAAGGACAGATGTTCAAGAAGTGAAAGGCGCCACCAGGAAGGTTGCTGCAAGTTCCAAACCCTACTCCGAAACAGCCAAAGCTTCTGAGAAACTTGTTTCCATCAGCAGTGCAACTGGTGGCCCACTGCTGACGTCAGAGCGAAGCCTCAGTTCCGGCTGAGGTGAGGTTACAGTCCACAGGCAGCAGGATCACACTCAGTAATTCTACAAAAAACTCTTAATTATAGCACTCATCTCAGAACATTGAATTTTATTTCGTTTTAAATTAGACATACCTCTCATTCACCCACTCACCCCCTGCCTCTCGTCTCCGTTTTTAATATAAAATAACACAGTAGTACGCTGCTTAGAAAACCAGGTTCTAAGCAGGTACTCAAGCAAACTGATGTCTCAAACATGCCCATTAGAGAAAATTCTTCTTTTGAAAAGGCAAGTGCCAAAATTAGGCTGAAAGGAAGTTATAAACCCATTCACATAGTACAGAGAGATCCTTGAACGTGTCGTATTTTTGCTTGTTAGTTGAGCTATGTGACAAAAAGCTGCTGTCCTACCCGAAAGATGCAGATGCTGCTATGCACACGGTCCGTATTATGGAGAGCTTGGCTGGCATCATGTTTTCTGGCAGTGGCAGATTCTAGTATAGAAAATTATGTCCTGCTAAAAATATTAGGAGTATCAAGGCCTACTGTGTAAGTGCAAGTTTGCAGCAGTTTTTCTGTAGGCCGACCATCCAGTGGAAGCAATCACTTCCTTCACCAAAGGAAACAACCACTTAAATGGCCAAGATTCACAGTATCCTAAATGCAGTCAACCATGCGACTGAGGTAAGACAGCCCTGAAACACACTTAAGGCTTGATAAGCAGCATGAGCGATACCATTCAAGGAAGCGTTATTAACGACCAGTTCATTTCAGGTGGGCCCAACTAGAACTACAAAACACTCTTTGGGCATCTTCAGGAACATTTAAAATATTGAAGCCCTTTTATCCCTTCACGCAGTCCTGATCCTTGACTATGTCTACCCTAAGCACTGCAAACGGACCCATTTCTCTTCGAAGGCTGCAGCGATAACACAGCGGGTAGGGTGTTTGCCTTGCACGCAGCAGACCCAGGCGACCCGGGTTCAATTCCTCTGCCCCTCTCAGAGAGCCTGGCAAGCTACCGAGAGTATCTCGCCCACACAGCAAAGCCTGGCCAGCTCCCCGTGACGTATTCGATATGCCAAACACAGTAACAATAAGCCTCACAATGGAGACATTACTGGCCTGCTTGAGCAAATCAATGAACAGCGGGAGGACAGTGTTGCAGTGCTACAGGAAGAGAATACAAGTGCATGATAGTTATCTAATTGTTCACGATCTAGCGGCTCAGTGATAAAGCTTCGCATCCAGGATATATTAACTAAGACTAAGGAGGTGGGAGAAAGATGGGGATCCACTTATCTAGAATATGTTGGGAGAAACTTGTTCTGATGGCCGAAAAATGGCCATCTCTTGGTTCACAGGGCAGTTCCCCCACTAATGTCACAACAAGATGTTTCTCAGGGATTGATTCATTCACAGAGGGTTTATCCTTTACAAAGACAAACCTCTCACATCATTTCAGCCCATAAACATGCTAAACCAATACTGCCTCAAGCACTGACTGAGAGTGTCCCTACCCTAAGCAGCTTCTAGCTCCTTCTGGTATGAGTAAGTCAGGAGACTTTTATCTCACAAAACCACTTAGCTTTACAAAGGTTTCCACTTTCTCCTTTCAGTAGACAATATGGAAGTTCTAAAGGAATTTAAAACGAGCACCTTTTCAGTAATTCAGAAGAAATCTCCTTCCTTCCATCTTTTTTTTTTTTTTTGGTTGCTAAGCCACACCCAGCAGTGCTCAGAGGTAACTCCTGCCTCTGCACTCAGGTATTACTCCTGGCGTGGCTCAGAGGACTGAACAGGGCGCCACGTATCAAACCTGGGTCGGCCACATGCAGGCAAGCACCCTACCCACTGAACTCTCTCTCCAGCCCAGAAGGTATTCATTCATTCCTGAATTCTCTCAAATGTCTTGTTTCTTTGGCAATCCTACTCATCTTCATCAGATCACTCACATCTCGAGGCTCTGCGAAAGATTTGGCAAGCCACAGGGTACTGACTGTACGAACATTTCTATGAATTTTATTAACAACTGCTAGACAACCAAAACTGGCTGTGCATCTGTCATTTAGGGGACTTGACAACTAGAGATTTCTGGCCGCATGCTGCCCTTGACATTATTCTCTCTCAGCTCAAACCTACACAAAAAGGAGTCGGATCAGATCCAATGTTCATCACAAACAAATGCTCAACGCTGAACCAGGAGAGGGCATCACTGTGGCAGCCACAGTCTCCACCGGCACCCCCGGGCAAGCTCTCTGGCTCATCCCAGGGGAATAAGGAGTCTGTTTTTGTTAAGCAGTCCACCTCCAGGGACAGCAATGACAAACCTGAATAAAAAAAAGTAGCGACTGCCTTAAAGACAACCCCCGTTAAGGGCAGAACTGGGGTTGATACAAACTGCAGAGGGCAGAGCTGCAGACGGGCAGCGTTTCCCCGCTACACTTAGAAACCTCATGCTAGAGCAGCATGCACAGAAAAGACAACGCTGGCAAGATTTTCCAGTATTCAGTTATAAATCAGGTAAATTTAAGGGCACATGATTTATCTTTGGGATTTCAAATACAGCACACGTAGACAAAGAAGGGTTTCAAGAATTTTCCTATCCAAAAGTCCTTCATTATAATGCGATAGAGAAAAAAAAACACATTCTATATTTCATCCTTCATGGCAGTTCTCAGAGTGAAGAAACAAGCTGACATTTTAGGAAGAACTAGGAAAACTGGAATCTATTGGTAGATCCACACAGACCCTGCTTTTTCTCTGCCAGCGAAATACTAGCAAAAGGTGAATGAGAAGTAATGTGCAAGTCATGTAGGACGCTGTTGATCAACTCCTCACAGGCCTTCATGCCACAATGGCATGAATGTCAACAGTGAATTTTGCACCTTAGTGCTCGAACTAATGGCTTCTGAAATACTTATATGAACAACGACCTCCAAAATCAAGCCCTTGATAGTAATCAGTCATGCCACACAGGTAAGAGAGCGAAGTGTTTCCCACAGGAGAGTCTGTTCTGGTCAAGCCATTATCACAAGTGTGGTAGCACCTTACGGGGTAAAACATGGGGAGGCGAAAACAAAGCGACTGGAGCTGGGGTGAACCCCAGCAGCATGGGTTCAAATACATGAAACAGGAGAACTCATCACCGAAACTCGTGACCACTCACATTACACTAGGGATAATAATGTTAACTGGTAACAACTGTCCATGCAGGATCAGGTGATGATCTAAATCCGTCTGACCACATGAGGAGTCAGTATCTGATATGTGGGCGACTGAAACTTCCCCACTGGACAAGCCAGAGCTTCGGGATCTCTTCCACTTGGCAGCTCTGAAAGCTGACGCCGCTAATATTCGTTTCAATACTCTGATGGAAGACTTTCCTCGTGATTCTTCATACCTCTCTGTGCTTTAGTTGTGTGTTCCGCAGTGCTCTTCCATCGTGTGGACCTCACAACCGTGGGGTGCGGAAGCCAGGGCAGGCTCCGTACCCCACTTTCCAGATGAACCTGAGACTCGGGAAGTGACTCCACAAAGGGTCATATGGCTATTAGGAACTGAGCGAGCAAGGAGAAGATCCCAACGCAGAACTCTCGCTCCCGTCCTTACGGGCGGGTGTGCTGGCCTCAGCCTGGGCGTCGGCAGTCCCATCCTTTCCCCACTCTGGGCGCGGGGGTACTCAGACGACTGGGCAGAAATGGCTCTACTGTCAAGTTGTGAAGTCAGAGAAAAGAACTTCCCAGTCTAGTCTCTAGACCTGAGCCTGGCTCTCGGATGCATTTAAGAAAGGGGGGAGGGGGGATCAAAACAAACAGCCTCTAGTGGACACAGAAAAAGATGTACACGGGAAGGAAGGAAGGAAGGAAGGAAGGAAGGAAGGAAGGAAGGAAGGAAGGAAGGAAGCAGAGGGTGGAGCCGTCCCCCCTGGGAAGCCAACGCAGAAGGCACTTCAAACAATGTTCTCGGCAGGGTGGTGCACCGGGGGAGTGCCCAGGGTGGAGAACTGGTGCCAGTTCCGCAGGAAGCCGCGATTGTACTGGCCTGTGTCCACGATGAGCCCGCAGAGAAGCCGGCGCCCAGTCTTCTGTCGCAGGGCCTGCTGGACTTCCCTCTCGGTGACGTTGTAGCTGATGTTTATGAGCTGGATGAGGAAGATGTAGGCCATGCCCGCGGTGATGATCACCGAGTACCACACGCAGGTGAACGACAGAGCAGAGCTGGGTGGGGAAAGGGCCAGTCAGCATGGGGGGGCCTTTGCATTCAGAAAGTGCACACCACTCTAACACTTTACACGTCCTACCTTTACATGGGCATCAGCACCGTCCGCAATCTTATTTACTCTGGTATCCTCGGACTGCCAGTAACCCACTAGCCTGACGACGGTTGATGTGGCCATTTTACTAGATTTTTGCTTTCTTTTTAAAGCCAGAACTGTTCTTTTGTATTTTGTGTTCCCCACACAACCAATACAATGCCTGGGATAATAGCATTCACGATGTGGAATGTAATTTCTAACTGCTTAAGTTTTCCTTAATGTTTAAGAAAATCCTGACCTAGGTACTACACTGCTCAGAGTGGTGATTAAAAAAGAAGAAGAGGTCGGAGAGAGAGAACAGGCACCGGGAACCAGCTAGGGCTGGGCGAGGCCCTCCAAGGGAATGAGCCGGAGAGCAGTCCTGAGCCTTCAGACAAAGCCCTGTGACTGCTGGGCCACTGTTCGTTTTCTGTCGCTACATGCAAGTGGTCATCTGACTCTGGAAGTGTGTGATCCAGACTGGGTTGACCTGCAGAGCATGAGGTTCCTCACTTCGAAAGGGCCAGTGATCCTTCTGCTGGCAGCCTAGAAAAATGCACCTAGCCACTGCACAATTTTGCTGGCAGTGAGGGGGAATACTCTGCATCCCCTTGGGTTGAAAACTCCTTCCCACTCCTTCCCACCCACCTATGGCAGCCCTTCACACCAGGAACGAGAGCCAGAACGACTGCAGCAGCCCTGCCTCACCTGTAGTTCGCGTACACTCCGGGGCAGTAGAAGAGAGCAGTGAAGATACTCCTGTCTTGGCAGATGGTGTCCAAGGTCAGCGTGATCCCGTATACCGAGGTGAGCAGGAAGATGCAGAGGGCAAGGATAAACGCCTGATGATTCGATTCTCCGACACAGCTATTGATCCTCAAGACAGCAAGGGAGGGGGACAAAGAAGCCTGTTTTTAAAAGTCCTCCATATAGCTCAAGAAAGCTTCAAACAGGAATAGTGTGAATGCCAATTACTAAAAAGTCAGTCTCCTTATTTTCCCTCTGCAGAGAAATAAAAAACTCCTCTACCGGCAGATGTGGTCTTAATTCTCAGCTCTTTGTAAAACAAAATCATATCATTAGTTTCAGAGGAGCAGGGTTAGCTAGATCTTCCTGAATATTAATAAGCAAAGTCTGAAGAGAGACAATATCCTATTCACCATAAGGAGGGAAGATGAACAGTTTTGAATACTTAAAAATGCTACATCAGAAGTATTCCACGAGAAAGCATGAAACAACATAAGCACACACAGTAACAGAAAGAGCCCCAGAGGTTACATCCCTGCTGTGGGGCGGCAAACAATTCAATACCCTTTGGTCTTGAAGGGTTCGGAGGAGGGCTCCGTGGGCAGTCAAGGGCATTCTGATGCCCTATGGACAGAGGCTTTTCAGAAGCTCTCAAGTCCCCTGCAAACCTGTGCTTAGAAATGGGCCCTCACAGGTGCACACAAATGAAAAGATGTGCAAAACTCTAAAAATGAAAATGCATGCTTACTCCTCAAGACAGAGCCCCAGAACATAGCAGATGGACTGAGAGGCACTTGACTGAGGGCACGTTGGGACCTTCCACTCCTTCCCCCTCTCCCGCACCCCATCTAAGGGGATGCTATGTTATTCGACCGGAATCTGGGCCACAAAAACATACTGAGGGGCCAGGGAAATAGTACACGGGTTAGGCCCCTGGCCCTGATTCAGTTCCTAGCACCCCCAGCATTGCCAAGTGCGGTCCCAGGGATTCCCAGCATCACAGGTCCCGAGCAGCACCCCAAGCACTCATGGTGCAGTTAAGCTGGCTGAGAATTGCTGGAAGTGATTCCCAAGTTCCAGGAATAGTCTGGGGCCCTCTCCACCCCCTGCCCCCCCACCCCAAAAAGGGATATTCATTGACTCGGCGACAAGCTATTTAAGGCATTCATGTCTAAAATATCCACTTCTTGAAAACAGAGATAGATAAATGGGACTATCTTAAACTAAGAAGCTTCTGCACCTCCAAAGAAACAGTGACCAAAATACAAAGACAGTCTACAGAATGGGAAAGGATAGTCACCGAATACACATCTGACAAGGGGTTGATATCCAGGATATACAAAATACTGGTTAAACTCCACAAGAAGAAAACATCCAACCCCATCCAAAAATGGGGTGAGGAAATGAACAGAAACTTTCTCAAAGAAGAAATCCGAATGGCAAAAAAGCACATGAGAAAATGCTCTACATCATTAATCATCAGGGAGATGCAGATCAAAACCACAATGAGATACCATCTCACACCTCAGAGACTGGCCCACATTCAAAAGAACAAAAGCAACCGATGCTGGCGTGGATGTGGCGAGAAAGGGACACTCCTTCACTGTTGGTGGGAATGTCCACTGGTTCAGCCCTTCTGGAAAACAGTATGGACGATTCTCAAAAAATTAGAAATTGAGCTCCCATTTGACCCAGCAATACCACTCCTGGGAATATATCCCAGAGAGGCAAAAATGTGTAGTCGAAGTGACATCTGCACTTGTTTGTTCATTGCAGCACTCTTTACAATAGCCAGAAACTGGAAGAAACCTGAGTGCCCAAGAACAGATGACTGGTTAAAGAAACTTTGGTACATCTACACAATGGAGTACTATGTAGCTGTTAGAAAAGATGAAGTCATGAAATTTACATACAAGTGGTACAATATGGAAAGTATCATGCTAAGCGAAATGAGTCAGAAAGAGAGGGATAGACATAGAAAGATTGCATTCATCTGGGGGATATAAAGTAACAAAGTATGAGATTAATACCCAAGAATAGCTGAGATCAGCACCAGGAGGATTACTCCATAACTTAGAGGCCAGCCGGGTATCCTAGAGGAAAGGGCAGCTCAGATAGAGAAGGGAGCACCAAATAATGGATGTTTGGAGGATCCTCCCAGGAGGGGAGATGCATGTCGAAAGTAGACTATGGACTGAACATGTTTGCCACTCAATGCCTCTTTTGCAGACCACAACACCCAAAAGGAGAGAGAGAACACAGGGGATTGCCCTGCCACAGAGACAGGGGGGATGGGGGGATGGGGGTGGGAGGGATATTATCTATGGTGGTGGAAAATGGGCACTGGTGGAGGGATGGGTATCTGATCATTGTATAATTGAAACCAAAGCACAAAAAATTGTAAATCTACAACTTTAAAAAAAATAAAATAAAATAAAGGAAAAAAAAATTTAAAAAAAAATAAAAAAAAATAAAATATCCACTTCTAGATTTAATACGGCTGGAACAACAGCTATAAAAGTTGTATTAGATAGGTCTTATTTATATGTCCTCATTTGTCACTGGTCAGTCATTAGGTACCAAATAAGCCCATCTCTTTGCAAAAAAAAAAAAAAAGCAAAGGGAGTTATTCAAAAAGGGCCTCACTTCATTCACACAGACAAGAAATCACTGGTAGCATCAAAATGATTAAGGATGCATGAGGTCTGGGGAGAGAAGGCAGCTGCGATGGAGAAGGGATCACTAAGACAATGATGGTTGGAGGGATCGTTCAGGATGGGAGATGTGTGCTGAAAGTAGAAGGACCAAACATGATAGTCTTTCAGTATCTGTACTGCAAACCATAATGTCAAAATGTAGATAGAGAGTATGGGGAAACTGTCTGCTATGGAGGCAGGGGGAGGGTTTGAACAGGGGGGGTATACTGGGGACACCGGTGGTGGAGAATGTGCACTGGTGGAAGGATGGGTGCTTGATCACTGTATCACTGAAACTCAAACATGAAAGCTTTGTAACTATCTCACGGTGAGTCAACAACAACAAAAAAAAAAAAAAAGGAGGAAAAAAAAAAAAGATGTATGAGGTGAGAGAACAAGACCCACCTGAAAATAGGGGACCCTCTTTTTTTGTTTTGTTTTTTCCTTTTTAAAGGACACTTTCTTAAGCTCTGCTTTCAAAAGAGTAACAGAGGGAAAGACACCTATGTGGATACTAATAAAATTCTTTTTTCAAAATCATTCAATGGTGAATTCTTCTCTTTTAGAAAAGAAATCAGAGGCAGGTCAAAAGAGAACAGGAGGGCTGGACAGAGGCCCACGTCGATCCCCCAGCATCACATGGTCACTTAAGAGTGACCCCCCCAGCACCAAGCTGGGCGCAGCCTGTTAACATCGGTTGGAGATGCCCTCCCCCCAAAAGAAAACAGGAAATTAGCCACATGCGAAAGAGAGAAGAAGAAGAAAAAAACACACCTTCAAGATTTGACTGAAGAAACTAAATTTGCAAAAACTTGAAAAACGGATGACTAAGTGGGAACATCATAACAAGCCACAAATATCTGCAAAGGTGTAAAGCTGGGAAAAAAAGAATTTTCGGAATGCACAAAGGAAGAGCGAATAGAGTGTCTCACATGAATTTACACTTCACAAACCTCCAACTTTTCCAACATACCAGACACAGTGGTGATCCATTCTCCTCACACAGATGCCGCAGATCCGGCAATGCCACGCCCGGGGCGGGCGCACCAGCTGGCACTTGGCACACCAGTCCTCCTTCCCCTGGGCAGGGCTTCCGGCCAGCCTGCTGGCAGGGCCCTTGGGGTCTTCCTTGGGCGTGCGGTTGCTGAGGCTTCCCGACAGGTCTGGACCAGGGAACCCTTTGGGCTTCTCCTGCCCTTTCCTGTTCAGGCATTCGATTTGGCTGCTGCCTGGGGATCTGTCGTTGCTCGCTGGATTTCTGAGGTAGCCTGGATTCTTCTTGGCTCGGTACAAGGCGAAGAGTATCAACACGAGCCCACAGGTGAGAAGAGCCAGCTGAAGGGGCCCCACGCGCCCTTTGGGGACCACTTCCTGCAGGAACACATAGTACATGTAGCCCAGAGAAAACAATCCAAGGCTCAGGAAAAACAGAGTCTGTTCTTTCCGTCTGTGGGTGAGGTAGTAGTACCACAGGGCCAGCACAGGGAGCGAGGTGAGAACCACCACCCCCAGGAGGAAGTGCCAGGAGGCCACGCGCAGGAAGACGGGCAGGAGGACGAGCGGGGGCACGATGCTGATGTTGACCTTTCTGGCCCCCCGGAGCCAGGGGATTCGGATGCGATCGGAGATTGTGTCCATGATCCTTTCGCAAGTCTCCGGCTGCACCGACTTACAAGAAATCCATCTACAGGGAAAGAGAGAAAGAGACGGCACCTGCTGGGCGTGGCTGGAGAAAGAACCACCCGGCCCCGAAGGCCCATAGCAGAAGCCAGGACAGAAGACATCAAGCGTTCCAGTCCCTTATTACTAAACACACGCTGCTCCGACTCACATCGTATTTACTACAAACAGGGTGTTCCGAAATTTAACAGGACAATTTTTTTTTTTCACAAAACAAACAGGAAAACACCTATGTTCTGCTCAAATACTATATAGAACTGGGTTCAAAACAATGCCTTCCCCCTCCCCCACTAGCACTGTCCTCCCACTGTTCATCGATTTGCTCGAGTGGGCACCAGTAATGTCTCCATTGTGAGACTTGTCACTTTTTTTTGGCATATTGAATACATCATGGTAGCTTGCCAGGCTTTGCCGTGCGGGCGGGATACTCTCAGTAGCTTGCCAGGCTCTCCGAGAGGGACAGAGGAATCGAACCCGGGTCAGCTGCGTGCAAGGCAAACGCCCTACCCGCTTTGCTATCGCTCCAGCCCATTCCCCCCCCCCCCAAAGCCCCTCATAATCTAGCTGTGCGAACAATATGAGAATTCAAAAAATGCTGGATCATTGACAAAGCAAAAATCACCCATTAGACTATTAGGGTTCAACATTCTAAGGCAGAGCTGGAATGACAGGACCACAGGCTTGGCACGTGCCTTGCATGTGGCTGACCAGGGCTCAATCCCTGGCATTCTGATGCCTGCGTGCAGAGCCAGGAGTAACCCCTCAGCATTGTTGGGTGGGACCCCAAAACTCAAACACAGTAACAACAAAAACACTAAGGCAATGTATTCAGGAAAATGAACTCTTTCGGGCAGAGCCATAGAGGGATCTTTGTGGAAAAGGCAGGTTCTGTGAATAACCTTACACAGGAGAACATGAATACAGGTAAGGGGGAGGGGGTAGCCCAGGAAACCAGACACAGTGCTAAACCTGCCCGGATCCCAGAAAGGAAGTGGTCAAGCAGTGGCAGGGGAGACACAAAGCTGCTTTTTCAATTGCTAGCCTGCAGGTGGAGAGGAGCTGAAAGCCACTGGTCCCTGCTGGTGTGGAAGGTAGGTGAGGGAGGGGGAGGAAGGGATCCTTCATCTCTGGTAGTGGGAATCAACTGGTCCGTCCTTTTTGAAAAACAATATGGGCACTCCTCAAAAAACTAGGAATTGACCTGCCATATGATCCAGCAATTCCACTTCTTGAAATATACCCCAAAGGCCCCAAACCACAATGCAGAAAAGACATCTGCATCCTCTGTTCATTGTAGCACTATTCACAACAGCCCAAATCACAATACCAAGTGCCCAAGAACAGATGATTGGATAGAGAAACTATGATACACATAACACAATGGAGTAGTCTGTGCTCGTAAGAAAAGATAAATTCATGCCATTTGCTGCTACATGGATAGATCTGGAGAGTACTGTGCTAAGAGAAGTTAGTCAGAGGGATAGGGTCAGACAGAATGATTTCTCTCCTCTGCAGAATGTAAACTCTGGAGGAGGGGGCGGTGCTGGACTGTGGTAAAGTGATATGCATGAAACCATGCCAGTAACAGTATTGTAAACCACAGTTGCCAACGGAAAGGAAAGAAGTTGCCTGCCATAAATGCAGACTAGGGAATAGGAGGAAGACTGAGGACACTGGTGGAGGGAAATAGACTCCAGTGAGGGGATTAGTTATATGCCTGAAAACTTAATCATGAATAGATAGGCCAAACACAGTAACAACAAAGTCTCCAATGGAGACGTTACTGGGCCCGCTTGAGCAAATCGATGAACAACGGGGGGGGGGGGGGGGGGGGAGGGCAGTGACTTTTCTTTCTGAATTTTGTAAATCTCAGTGCCTCAATTAAAAAAAAAATGAATAAAGAAAAACACAGAATGCTCAGATATGTGTCACAGATGCTGGGAACAGGTTGAAAAGACCCCTTGTTCAGTTCACATGTGCTTCTTTCTCCCTTTATATTTTCTCATCTGTTGCAATATGAGTGAGGCAGCTTTGAAACTTTTTTTTAAAAGAAAAGAAAAACAATGTTCAACACCTAGTCATAACTGCCTGTCCCCACCATCTGTACAAGCAGGCCAAGTGCCAGTCCACAGGTATGAAAAGGCTGAAGAATGCACCAAAAAGGCAGAGTTCAAACCAGTACACAGGAAATGACAGGCTTGGGGCACACAGGTATGTGTTGACTTTTTTGGGTTGTTTTGGGGCCACACCGAGGTGGTGCTCAGAGATTTACTCCTGGCTCTTCAGTCAGGAATCACTCCTGACAGGCTTGGGGGACCATATGGGATGCCAGCTATCGAACCCAGGTTGGACACATATAAGGCCAGGGCCTTACTTGCTGTACTATCTCTGGGCCCCTGTTGACTTTTTTTTTTTTTTGACAAGGAACTATTTAAGGGACGCGAACCTACAATAAAGTACTGGGAGTGAATGGGAGTCACGTACAGACAGGACATGGGGAATACTGGGGATCTATATTCAGAGAAAGGAATGGAAAGAGCAGAGGTGAGAACTCTGGGAACAGTCATGACGATCCCAAGAGTAAGAGGTAGGAAGAGTTACAAGGTTAAGGCAGGAGCTGCTACCCCCAGTGACCAAGTATAGGGACACAGCTGCCCCCCTCCAGTCACTAATGCAAAGCGCTCCTTTGCTCACCACAAAAGCCTATAAAATTTATGTTTCACGATGTTTAAAAAAAAAAACTAGCGTCAAAGAAGAATGACAGAGATCTGGGGTCTTCTAGTGTCAGGAACAATATTAGAGCACAGAAGCGCCGGAGGAATGCTCCCCATGGTGAGATTAATGAACCACGTTCCACATCAGCAATTCGCCACTGAGTGACTCTAGCAATAACTGGTTTTAGTTTGGGGGCCACACCTGACGATACTCCAGGGACCAGGGTGCCAGGAATGAAACCTAGGCCAGTCATGTGCAAGGCAGGCAGGCAGGCACCCTGCCAACTATACTACTTCTCCAGCTCCAGCAGTAAATTTTGGGGGTTTGGGGGAGGTGGGTCATATCCCATGGTGCTCTGCTGCTACTTCCGGCTCTGCTTAATAGGGACCTTTGATGCTGCTCAGGGGACCGTTACCCAGTGCTCAGGATGTAATCAGCATCTGCTGCAGACAAGGCAAGCAGCTCGCACCTGTATGATCTCTCAGACCCCTGAACCAGCAGTAATACACTTTTATTTTTCTGCCACACCCATCTGTGCTCAGGTCTCACACCTGCTCAGGACGACTCCTGACTATGTTCAGGGGACAGTCTGTGGTGCTGCAGAACCCCACTTGGTGTGCTGCAAGTCCTATACCCCCTGTCCTATCCCCCAACTCCCCAGCAGAAATTCGTAATTGCTAGTAATTGTTAGGAAAACCATTCCAGCACACTTATCATCCCCCATGTTACGCTTTCTACAAGAAAAAATTTTAATACATAATTATTCAGGGGAAAAAAAAAGAACCAAGAGAAGGCTATTATGTTTGATACAACAATTTTCCAATCATGTTAAAAATTACATTTCTGGTTGGCAAATTCCATCAGCCACCAAGTTCAATCAAGACTGCTGGTGCTCACACTGAAAGCAACTTAACCCAGGAAGAGACATGCTGTTTGGCTGGAATTTCTCCCCAGCATCCAGGGATGAACCCAATTCCCACAGCAGAGAAACGATCCTTCAACCCCTCAGGTCCCTTCTGCGGCCAGGTACGAAGTAGTCCATTTCTAAGTGCTAAGTACACTGAGAATGCAGAAAATTTCTGGCAGGACTGTGGTCATTTTAATCGACAGATTCGTATTACACTGACCCTTTTCCTTGGGGGGAGCAGAGGGGGACGTGTTCCTTGCCTTTATCCTGTGCTAGTTCTACCCACCAAAGCGTCCTTTGAAAGAATTAAATAGAATTAACCTGTCCCAACTAAAAAAAAAAAAAAACAGTTGCTCACAGTCCAGTAAATCTTGTTGATCAGATGCTCAGACTCGACCGAGAAGACATCATCCCCATTTTCGACTGCTGGACCAGAAGGGCGCCCCGGCAGGTGCGAGGTGGTCCGGGCGCATCCTTACCTGTCGCAGCCCTCATCCAGGTCCTGGCAGTCGCACAGGCAGGCGGCCACGTGGTTCTTCTCCCCGTGCCCATCGATGTACTCGCAGCAGCACAGCGGCTCGAGCTCGGGCTCCCGCGCGTCCCTCCTGCCGGCGGCCGGCGGCCGGGCCTGGCGGGCCATGATTCGCACCTGCGGCCGCGCGCGCCGGGGCCCTGCGCGGGTCGGGCGGGAGAGAAGCGGGCGACTCGCGGGCTGCAAACGCGCGCATCCCTCGGCCCGAGCACCGCCAACGCCCGGGAGAGCGGGAGGAAGGGGGTTTGGGAAAGGTGGGGAGGAGGACACTAAATGAATAACTAGAATAAAGGGGGGGTCCCGTTTGCATCCATCCGGCTAGACTTGGCCCAAAGCGGGGGCGCTCGGGGCCGGCTCGAGGGGCTCCGCCTCCGGGGGAGGGGGTCCCCTCACCGCGCCCCGCGGGCGGCCCCGCGTTGCCAGGGCGACAGGCGCGCACGCGGCCCGGGACAGCCGGCGCGCGGGCGGCCGCGACGCTCACCTGCCGCGGCGGGGCTGGGCCGGGCACCCGCCGCCGCCGCCGCCGCCGCCGCCCCGGGGAGCCCCCGCACCCCGCCCAGCCCCGTGGGGACCCGGCCGGGAAGTTACCTGCGCGCCCCCGAGCGCGGCCCGAGCGGGGATCCCGGCGCCGCCGCCGCCGCCGCCCACCTGCGCCCGCCGCGCTTCCGGGTGCCCCGCCCCCGCCGCCCCCGCCCCCGCCCCCGCCGCCGCCCCCGAGCCGCGGCGCGGGGCAACAGGCGTCCGGGCCGCGCGCGTCTCCGAGGACCCGCCCCCACCGCCCCCCGGGGGCCCTTCAAGGCCCCTTCCTGCCCTGGAGCTCGTCAGTGCTCGCAGGTTTCGCCCTTCCGGGCAGAGGTAATAAACTCCACGCCCCACCCGCCCCGCGCCCGCCCGGACTTGGCTTGCGGCCGCGTGCACGCTCCGCGGGGAGGGGCTCTGGGCACCGGCTCTCAGTTTTTTAAATTTTCATCTTTTTTCATCTTTCGCTTTTGGGGGTCACACCCGGCAGTGCACAGGGGTTACTCCTGGCTCTGCACTCAGGAATTGCTCCTGGCGGTGTTCAGGGGACCGTATGGTTTGCTGAGACTCGAACCCGGGTGGGTTGGTCGCATGCAAGGCAAACACCCTACCCGCTGTGCCATCGCTCCATGCTCCTGGGCACGGACTTTTTATGGTGCAGGCCCCTGTACTTGTTTTCACTACAGGGGACGATTTCTAGTTTGCTGGCGAGAAACAGGAAAAGGAAAACTACAACTCACTTTGGATTTTATTGACATTTCCGTTACACAAAGAAGTCACTGAATTCAACCTATGTATATTTTAAGCCTTCATTTACTGACTTCAACTCCGTATATTTTCAGGCTTCATTTGTAAACCAGTGTTGGTTATTTGAGGTATGTGGGGAAGCACAACATTTAAGGAAATCTCACACACACACACACACACACACACACACACGAGTCAATTATTACTCCTCATTCTTGAGAATACAGATTGCAAATTTTCAAATTTATAATCCAGTCACTCTGCTCACAGCCATCCTAAATCTTCCTCCAAAGCCTCAGGCAGGTACATTTCTCTCTCAAGGGAAGCTTGTGGAGATTTACCCAGAGAAACCCACTTCCCTCTACTTGAGTCAATACTTCCATTCATTCCCCAAGGCATCTCAAAAATGACTTTAGCAACCCCAGGTGGCTCTGGTGTCTGGGACCAAAGAAGCATTCAACTCAAGACAACAGTTTAAAGAACATATACAAAGTACTGTGCCACTGTCTTGTTCCAGGGACATCACTTAAAACATGCCTTAAACACATTATGACTCAGCTAAAGCTTGCATCTGACTTAAGATTTCGGTGAGTGCACTTGTATAGGAACAGTTTTCACTAAGAGGAAAAAGTTTTTATTAAGAGGATTTTGTGCATAGCTTATCACTAAGTAACTAAAACAAGATACACATTTTTTTTAAAAAATGCCATCCACGGCTATGGGAAACTAATCCACTAAATACTTTCAACCAGATGTCTCATAAAAGGGGGCTAAACTGAAACTAAGCTTAGTTCAAGTACTCAACTGATTTGCCACTATTTTTAAAACGGTTCTAGGTTCTTCATTTTGAATCTTAGTACTCTACATGATTTCTTTGGCTCTTGGTTCTTCATTTTAAAATGATTCATGGTTCTTCATTTTTAATCTTAGTATTCTACATGATTTTTTTATGTAAACAGATTTTTTGCCATATGAGCAGGTTGATATCTCTCAAGGCAGCACAACCTGCTGTTCAGATGAAAATTTTTTTCAAACCATTTTCTACCAGAGAATAATGTAATCCTTTCTTGGGATTCTTAGTAGCCTTGGGCTTTATAAACCAGGAAGGTACCAGGTAGTGGTTATTCAAGTTTGGGTCTCTGTGAAAGCAGGGGGACTTTTTTTATTTTATTTTTTTTATCCACCCAGATCCTCCATATTCCAGTAGGCAGGGGTCACACCCACCAACTGGCCCCCTGGCCCCAACTGGCCCCCTGGCGCCGTGCAATCCCATCAACAGCCAAGACCCAGAGACTATAAAACCCAGTTCCCAGAAGTGACATCTTATTATCTCATTCTTACTTTGGACAAACTGGCAGGCTACCGAATGTAACCTGCCCACACAGCAGAGTCTGGCAAACTCCCCGTGACATACCCAATATGCCAAATACCAGTAACAGTGATGGGTCTCATTCTCCAAACCCTGAAAAGAGCCTTGAATATGGCACTTTTAAAAAAATCTCAGGGCTAGGATGAAGGAGACGTTACTGGGGCCTGCTCGAGACAATCGACGAACAACAGGATGGTCGTGGTCGTGATCATGAGCAGGTTATCTCACCTCTGAGAGTTACCTGGTGAAGGAAGAGCTGTTTCACAAAGACATAAAGATCGTGGGGTTGGAACAAGAGTACAGTGGGTAGGACGTTTGCTGGCATCTGGCTGACCCTGGTTCTATCCCTGGCATTACAGAGTCCCCTGAGCCCTGACAGAAGTGATTTCTGAGTGCAACGAAAGTTGTGAACATGGCTTAGGTGTGGCCCCCAAACAAAACAATACCAAAAACGCATGCTCTAGGGCTGGAGAAATAGGACAGCACTTGTCTTGCATGCGGCCAATGGGCACGGCTGGAAATAGCTCCAAGTACATGCAGGCATGGCCCATCCTCATACTCAAGAAAAAAAGATCTAACACAGCTGAAGAAACTTGCAGATAATCATCAACATGCATGTACAAAAAATCTAACTACTGAATTTACATTTATTTGCTAAATGAAGACACTGTGATAGTTACAGTACACAAATCTAAAAATGTGAATGTCTAAAAACTGATACCTCAAAATTCATAATGATTTAGCAATTTCTCCTTTAAGTTGTCAGTAGTCTCTTGGCCATATCTCATCTGTGAAAGCAATCTGCTGGGGACACAGTGATTCTGCAATAACAGCTAAAGCATCAACGTCAAACCTCTCCAAAAATGACACTATGCCACTCAGTTCAGTGTCTCATTATTTTTTTTCTGTATTACAGAAATTCAAATCCACAATACATTTCATGGTTCACGGAAGAAATTCACAGCTTAAAATTATGTAAAAGTAAAAGGATGGATTCTTAAGGCCTTTGGAAATTATTGAATGTAATTAAAAGAGATAAGAATGTTCATATTAGAAGTACCAATAATGAGAAAATATGGAAATATTCCTTTGACAATAAAATCCTTCATCCTCTGGTTTCTTCTGGATGTTTTCTTTTAGTTCCCAATACCTCTACGATTTCAGTCATAATGATGGATCTCTTTCTTCAGCCACACCAGTCTTATTCTTATTTAGTAAGTCAAAGGTTTTCTGAAGCATGATGAGTGAACTCCTTAGCTGCAAAGAAAAAGTTTCAAAATCAGACGGTTTAACCTTCCTGGTTATTTTAATGCCAACAGTTTACATTTATGTCTAATATATATTATAATTTTATTCACATGCCCAAATGAAAGGCTGCATATAAAGCATCCAGCTCTTCAGAGCATCTGTGAGCTGGTTGCAGAGTTGTTCCCTTGGCTGGTGTATCTTTCGTCTTTCCACAGTGCCCTGCTGTTTTCAACTGCATGGTACGTCCATGAAACCCACAGGGAAGTCAAAGGCAGATTTTCTTCAAAGTTTCTGAAGTTGCAGTGTCCCCTCACCCTCCCCTGAAAAATTCGTGTGTCATTTCCAGACTTTTGTTCGCTGATCTATTCATATTTCTTTTCATCTCAGTAAAACTTACCTACCCCTTTGTCTACATAATTTTCCCTAAACATAATACCTCTTTTTTCATGTCTTTTTTGACAGCCACTCCTGGTGGGATCACTACGGGCAGTGTTTGAGGAAACATAGGTGGTGCCCCCCGGATCAAATCAGGGTCAGCAGCATACAAGGCAAGTACCTTAACCCCTGTACTAGTTCTCTGGACCTCAACCTTCCTTTAAACCCTGCAAACATTCTACTTACTTGAATATTTCATTTATATCTTTTTGTTTATTCCATTGTTTTGTTTTGTTTTGTTTTGTTTTGTTTGGGTCACACAGGTGCTGAGGGCTTACTCCTGGCTCTGCACTCAGGAATCACTCCACTCCTGATGGTGCTTGGGGATGCCATATGGGATGCTAGGGATCGAACCCAGGTTGACCACATGCACGACAAATGCCATACCTGCTAATTTTGTTCTTTATCAGCTTTGACAATACACTGATGTCTCATAAAATTGTAGGCAACTTGAGAGCAAGAATGTGTCTTTTGTTCTTTAATTCATTCATTAACCAAGAATTTACTGCTTTTTGTCTATTACACATTGAGCACAGTGCTAAGTTCTAGGGATACAGCAGTGAAACCTTCATTCCTGGAGCTTACAGACAAGTAAGGAATACAGAAGTAACAGAAATGATCATACTTATACATGTATACTTACGTATTTGGTTTTGATTTGAGAAAGTGGAGATGATAGTACCATTTTCTAAAATGAGGTCAGCTAGTGGAGAACTGGGTTTTGTTGGGGATGAAAACTGAATTCTGTTATGGACATGATCAAGCTGAGTGCTTACTGGCCTAAGCATCCAGGTGAAGATGCCAGGTATGTGGCTGAAAGAGTCCTGAACTCAGGGATGGACATAAGAATCACTGGCAAATAGGACCAAACTTAAGGTTGAGGTCACATGGTCTAAACTAGCAAAAAATAGTTTCAAAAAATGCAGAGTAAAAGAAGTAAGTCACAATGATAACATACTGCATAATTTCATTTATATAAAATCTCCAGAGTAGGGCAAATTTCGAGAAAGTGAGTTAATAATGTTCAAAAGTGCAACGAATGAGGGATAAAATCACTGCTGATGAATGCAGGGTTATTATCTGGGGAATAAGTGTGTGGGGGGGGGGTTGAGGAGGGCAGCATAAAAATATTGTGGAATTAATAGCGTTAGTTTCACAACTTTATAAAGAAATTGAAAATTATTTAAAAAAACAAAATAACTACATTAAAACTGAATTTCCACACCACCCGCCTCGTGATTTTAAAGAAGGAAAGATTAGATGCAATTCAAGAAAGAAATGAGTGGTCAGCTCTATCAAATGCTGACATTGTAAGATGAAAACTAAAAAAAGGTACATTAATCTTAAAAGCCAGTGGGGACACTGGGGATTTCAACTTGAGCAATAGCCATGGAAGGTATGAGAGAAGAAAATAAGGCAAGGCATGAGCTGGAGTGACTGCAGAAGTACAGGTGTATTTTCCAGCCGCTCCTGAAACCCCACAGAAAACAAAATGGGTTTTTTTTTTTTTTTTTTGCTTTTTGGATCACACCTGGTGATGCACAGGGTTTACTCTGGGCTCTGCACTCAGGAACTACTCCTGGAGGTGCTCAGGGGACCATATGGGATGCTGGGAATTGAACCCAGGTCAGCTGCATGCAAGGCACACACCCTACCCGCTGTGCTATCGCTCCAGCCCCAAATTGGGCTCTTTTTTTTTAAGGGTATAAATCCATAAGAAGGGCAAAGAATAAAGGTGACCATGGCAGTAGGACTTTTGAGACTAGTGAAAGTGATGGATGGCTTCATTGGCCTGAGAAGACTGGACTCAAATGTTAAAAGCAAAAGAAGCTGAGAATCAAGTTACTCTGAAAACCGTCAAAAAGTTCAGGGCAGATATCGATAGCCAGGAATCACAGGAAGGAGAAATAAAGAGGACGGAGCTGACATATGAATTAAATGAAACTGAGCATTGGCCCTACCTGGCAAAAGTCTAAATTTTTACTCATTTGGCGGGGGGCAGGTGTGCCAGTTATCGTATAGAGGTAAGGTGCTTGTGTTGTGTGTGGCTGATTCCAGTTAAATCCCTGGCACCACATAAGGTCTCCCAAGCACCACCAGGAGTGACCCCTGAGCACAGAGCCAGGAGTAAGACCTGGGCACAGCCAGGTATGACCCTGCCAAAAAATTTTTACTTTTTGCAGGACATAAAAAAAAAAAACACGGTAAGAGAATAATACCCAAAGACAGTAGGAACGAGGACCAGGAAGACTAGTCCATGGTAGGAAGCCTGCCACAAGTTGTGGGGGCATGCAGTTAAACCCCACCATGACAGTAATCGGAAGTGATCGCTGGACAAGATCTGAGTGCTGAAAGGCAGTAAAGGGATATACATGATAATTAGTACCTATATTGCAAATTGTAATGCCCAAAAAGGGGGTTGGGGGGAAAGTGAGAGAGAGAGAGAGAGAGAGAGAGAGAGAGAGAGAGAGAGAGAAAGAGAGAGAGAGAGATAGAGAGAGAGAGAAAGAGAGAGAGAGATGGGGGGGGGGTGTCTGCCATAGAGGCAGGCTAGGGGAGAGGTGAGGACACCGATGGTGTGAAACATACAAAGGTGAAGGGATGGAACAACTTTGTAACAACTTTGTAACTCACAATGATTCTTTTTTTTTTTTTTTTTTTTGCTTTTTGGGTCACACCCGCAATGCTCAGGGGTTACTCCTGGCTCATGCACTCAGGAATTACTCCTGGCGGTGCTAGGGGGACCATATGGGATGCTGGGAATCGAACCTGGGTCGGACATGTTGGCTGCATGCAAGGCAAACACCCTACCCGTTGTGCTATCGCTCCAGCCCCAATGATTCAATTTCTTAAAAATATTTCCCCTTTTAAAAAATTTTTGCCTGGAGAGAGGGTTAGACTACATCCATAATGCTCAGGAGTGATGCTCGGTGGTGCTCGGGAACCTGATATGGTGTTGGTGTCAACTGCAAGCGAGCTGCATGCTGTGACTCCTGTACTCTCTCCAACCCTAACATTGGACTTCTGGAGAGAAGATTCAAGTGTCTTCTCTATACAAGGGCAAGATCGGTACAGGAGGAAAGACAGAAAGCCCTGGAATCGTGGTGTTAGGATTTCTCCACCTAATGTGATCTACAAGGTAGGCAGAGCAACCCAACCGACACCCTGGCTAAGAGCTTCGATCAATACCAGTGAGAGCCAAGGGCTACTGACATACAACGAAACCCTCAAACCCTAAGGATGGAAATCAAAATGAGGAGAGCCATTTTAAAAGATGATATTCTAGGATGTGAAAGGAAAATAATCCCTGTGGTTTCTCTCTCTGGCAGCCAGATGGAGAGAACATCTGGGGAAAAAATGATGATGTTGCTAGACAGAGGAAGAAATCGGAGGGGAAGAAGAGAACAGGAAGTAATGGGTAAACAGGCAACCGGCTTCAGTTACACTGTTGATATGGGTGAGTGGTGGAGCCATCTATCCAAAATAAAGACTCAACAAAATTGAAAACATGAGATTTATGCTACAAGCATGAAACTTGGTTAATGTGTCTGTCATGTTGACAGATGGGGATGGGGTGGGATTGGGGGTGCAGAAGGAATATGGGAACACTGGTGGAGGAAAGTGGATATTGGTAGTGGGGTTGGTGTTGAAATATTATATACTGAAAATTCAACTATCAATTACTTCGTAAATGGCAGTTCTTTTTTTTTTCTTTTTGGGCCACATCCAGCGATGCACAGGGGTTACTCCTGGCTCATACACTCATCATGCACTCAGAAATTACTCCTGGTGGTGATAGGGGGACCATATGGGATGCTGGGAATCGAACCCAGGTCAGCTGCATGCCAGGCAAACGCCCTACCCACTGGGCTATTGCTCCAACCCCAAATAAGAGTAAATATTAAGCATACCTAGAGGATCAACAAGAAGAAAGTGGTGGTTGTGTGCATGCTGATAGAAAAAAATATCTCAATATACCACTAAGGAGAAAAGACTGTGTGCACTGAATGCTGGGATTCTTCCATGTTTGTTTTTCAAACAATGCGAGTATGTCATATTGTGTGTAATACAGAAACCAGCAAGGGTATTTTCCTCTAGGAAGGACATTTCTTCAGATATCGATACAGTAAATATTCTCTCAAAACTAAAAGGGGGGAGGGGAGGAGGCCGCACGGGAGAAAAAAAACAACTAAAGGAGTAATACTGTTGCCAAATTTCTAAGTCCTGCGGTGCAGAGTTTCTACCTGTTCAAGCATCACAATTGAGTCTTGAAGAACTCCTTTTAAACGTTGCTGCGCCTGGTCTTTGTTCTTCTGTAAATTTTCTGATCTCAACGCCATATCAGAGGCTACACTGAAAGAGAAATACCACTTCAATAGATTAGGAGAATTGCTCCTCACCTTCCATCACTAGAAAACATCAGTACTCCATACATTTGCAAACTAAACAAAAATAATTAAACATTAAGTTGATGACTATAGAGTAATTAGGAGACCAAAAATCTTTGTTTTTTTTTCTTTTTGGATCATACCTGGCGATGCACAGGGGCTACTCCTGGCTCTGTACCCAGGCATTACTCCTGGCGGTGCTCAGGGATGCTTGGGAATCAAACCCGGGTCGGTCGCATGCAAGGCAAACACCCTACCCGCTGTGCTATCACTCCAGCCCCAGGAGACCAAAATCTTTAAAACTGATAATAAATTTTCTGCAACTAAAATAATATTGTAATAATATGGTGAAAACAGACTGGGAGTAAAAAAGAAAAAAAAAAGACTTACTTGGGAGATTTCTCTTCCTGTACTTGGAGCCGATAAAAGGACTGAGCGGCATATTCTATTTTTGACAGCTTCAGAAACAGGGTCACATTCAACAGGACGAGCAGCAGCAAACTAGGCACAGAAAATCACAGCTGGTCAATCCTCTCGTATCCAAACCCACGGCACTGGGAATGCAGACTATGTGAAACCTGCAAACACGCATCTTACTGAGACGAGTTCCCAGCTCTTGTTGCCATTTGAGTCAATAAGTCCTATCTTAATGCTCGAAATAATTATTTGGATGTAAGAATGGGGCATTTAGGGGAATGTTGGAAGGTAACTAAAGTCAAGTCCTCAAGTTCAGCAGGATTGGGTTGCTCCTAGAATCTCTCTCCTCTCGAGAAGAAAAATGCTTGCCATAGTGATAGGCAGTGGGAAGGTGGGGCGGGGGGTGGGGGGGGCTGGAGAGACACTGGAACCATTGGTGGTCAGAAAAGTACACTGGTGAAGGGATGGGTGTTAGAACATTACATGACTGAAATCCACTCATGAACAACTAAATGTGTACGTCACTGTGAAAGAATAAAAGAAAAATAAAAACCTTAAAAAATATCTCTCTCCTCTCTTTTAGGAATATCAGTCAGCATAGTTGATATGGGACCACCAGCATAGAAATCTACCGGGTAAGCTTTCATGATCTATTTTTGGGTGCTTTGGGCTTAAGCAATTATACACCCATAATACTCTACTTCAAAAAGGAAATGAAGATCAATAAGGACCTGATCTCAAGATGATCATGATGTACCTCTTATTCCCAGTAGGGGGGAAAAACGATTATTCAACAAAAATTTTTTGTAGCTCATTTTAAGCAAAGGAAGTATCAAATGCCAAATATACATTATCATGAACAATGTTACAAGGTAAATTAACTTAGTTGAGGTTTTGTTTGTTTTGTTTTAGGGCTATACCCAGCTATGCTTAGAGGTTGTTCCTGGCTCTGCACTCAGGGGTCACCCCTGGCAGTGCCTGTGGGACCATATCAAATGCCAGGAATTGAACCTGGGTGCCAGGAATTGAACCTGGGCTGGTCGTGTGAAAGGCAAGTGCCCTCCCCACTGTACTATTCCAGTCCCAAAAGAACTTTATTGGTTTTCACAACAACCTTTTTGGTGAATGTGTGTGAATATTTATACAAATATATGTATACATATTTTACTTATAATTATATAAGTGGAATATTTGCATATAAATTTATGAATAGTAATGCAGAAAGTCACTGATAATATTTACTAACCAAGACTGTTATTGCAAACCGATTTGAACAGAGTTGAGAATACGTTAGAAAGTTCAAAAGCACATTTTCCATATCCTCAAATTTAGAATTAGAAAAAAACAGCTGATAAAATTCATCCCCCAAAATATTAACCCAAATTATATCACTCAGTCAGAACGATTCAATTCAATCTCAAGAACTTCCTCAGGTTCCAAATAGAGCCAAAAGGATAACAGAAGCCTAAATATTACTTGTTGATTTTTGGGCACTTATATAATACATATTGCCCCAATATTTCTCATCATGTGATTCTCTAATCACTTGCATCAAAACAGTCTGTAGTAAGTATTTTAAGAATATTGATTACCAATCCCTACTTAGGACCTATGTGCTCAATCTCTGGAAACAAGACTAAGAAATCTGTATTTTAACAACAGTAAAGAGTAAGAGGGATCTGGATTTTATAGTCTCTGAGTCTTGGCCGCTGATGGGATTACACGGCGCCAGGGGGCCAGGTGGTGGGTGTGACCCCCGCCTACTGGAATTTGGAGGATCTGGGTGGAAGATGCTCGACTCCAAATCGAGTAGGCTTGGAGGTCTCGGCCCCGGAACCCGCGTGGCTTTGTCCCTCTGCCAGCACCTTCAGGTGTGCGGAGAGTGGTCTCAGCATGGTGGTGGCTGGTCCTGGAGGTCTTCGGCTGCCGTAGCCCTGGTCGGGGCGGGGAGGAAAGCTCAACCCGCTCCCCTCCAAGGGACTCCGGGAAGGAACACCCTTGCGCGGGGGCAGAGACTGCACTTTTCTCGTCCGGGATCTGGATTTTATAGTCTCTGAGTCTTGGCCGCTGATGGGATTACACGGCGCCAGGGGGCCAGGTGGTGGGTGTGACCCCCGCCTACTGGAATTTGGAGGATCTGGGTGGAAGATGCTCGACTCCAAATCGAGTAGGCTTGGAGGTCTCGGCCCCGGAACCCGCGTGGCTTTGTCCCTCTGCCAGTACCTTCAGGTGTGCGGAGAGTGGTCTCAGCATGGTGGTGGCTGGTCCTGGAGGTCTTCGGCTGCCATAGCCCTGGTCGGGGCGGGGAGGAAAGCTCAACCCGCTCCCCTCCAAGGGACTCCGGGAAGGAACACCCTTGCCCGGGGGCAGATCCCGGAAGAGAAAAGTGCAGTCTCTGCCCCCGCGCAAGGGTGTTCCTTCCCGGAGTCCCTTGGAGGGGAGCGGGTTGAGCTTTCCTCCCCGCCCCGACCAGGGCTACGGCAGCCGAAGACCTCCAGGACCAGCCACCACCATGCTGAGGCCACTCTCCGCACACCTGAAGGTACTGGCAGAGGGACAAAGCCACGCGGGTTCCGGGGCCGAGACCTCCAAGCCTACTCGATTTGGAGTCGAGCATCTTCCACCCAGATCCTCCAAATTCCAGTAGGCGGGGGTCACACCCACCACCTGGCCCCCTGGCGCCGTGTAATCCCATCAGCGGCCAAGACTCAGAGACTATAAAATCCAGATCCCGGACGAGAAAAGTGCAGTCTCTGCCCCCGCACAAGGGTGTTCCTTCCCGGAGTCCCTTGGAGGGGAGCAGGTTGAGCTTTCCTCCCCGCCCCGACCAGGGCTACGGCAGCCGAAGACCTCCAGGACCAGCCACCACCATGCTGAGACCACTCTCCGCACACCTGAAGGTACTGGCAGAGGGACAAAGCCACGCGGGTTCCGGGGCCGAGACCTCCAAGCCTACTCGATTTGGAGTCGAGCATCTTCCACCCAGATCCTCCAAATTCCAGTAGGCGGGGGTCACACCCACCACCTGGCCCCCTGGCGCCGTGTAATCCCATCAGCGGCCAAGACTCAGAGACTATAAAATCCAGATCCCGGACGAGAAAAGTGCAGTCTCTGCCCCCGCGCAAGGGTGTTCCTTCCCGGAGTCCCTTGGAGGGGAGCGGGTTGAGCTTTCCTCCCCGCCCCGACCAGGGCTACGGCAGCCGAAGACCTCCAGGACCAGCCACCACCATGCTGAGACCACTCTCCGCACACCTGAAGGTGCTGGCAGAGGGACAAAGCCACGCGGGTTCCGGGGCCGAGACCTCCAAGCCTACTCGATTTGGAGTCGAGCATCTTCCACCCAGATCCTCCAAATTCCAGTAGGCGGGGGTCACACCCACCACCTGGCCCCCTGGCGCCGTGTAATCCCATCAGCGGCCAAGACTCAGAGACTATAAAATCCAGATCCCGGAACCGCGCGGCCGCATTTGCGGCCGCGTGACATCTTATCAGAACTTTTCTTTATGACATCTTATTATCTCATTCCTACTTTGGACAAACTTGCAGGCTATCGAATGTAGCCTGCCCACAGGGCAGAGTCTGGCAAACTCCCCGTGGCCTACCAAATATGCCAAATACCAGTAACAATGATGGGTCTCATTCTCCTAAAGAGCCGTGAATATAATCTCAGGGCTAGGATGAAAGAGACGTTACTGGTGCCTGCTCGAGGCAATCGACGATTAACAGGATGATGAAATGAAATGAAAATGAAAGAGTAAGAACCACTGATCTAATCAAACCATAGTTTCACCAGCCTACATATATAAATATTCCCTTTAAATATATGGAACTTTCCATAAAAACTTACAATGACAGAAATAATCAGATTCATTTTAAAAAGAAAAGCATTTCATGAATGTGTAATCAGTAGCACTGTAGCACTGTCCTCCCGTTGTCCATTGATTTGCTTGAGTGGGCACCAGTAACGTCTCCATTGTGAGACTTGTCATTACTGTTTTTGGCATATCAAATACATCACAGGTAGCTTGCCAGGCTTTGCCATGTGGGCACAATACTCTTGGTAGCTTGCTGGGCTCTCCAAGAGGGGTGGAGGAAATGAACCTGGGTCCCCAGGTTGGCCACGTGCAAGGCAAACGCCCTACCTGCTGTGCTATTGCTCCAGCCTGTGTTATCAGTATTTTGACAGTATTCCTTTAAATTTAATAATTATTCAGAAAATCATACATGAGGAATGATGAGAGTGAAACATAAAATTCATGCTTTGGAGGGCAACATTGTCAGCTTGTGGCAATATCTATGCAATCCTACACAAAATGCACTAAATCCTTCTGTAAATTGTTGAAAGTGTTCACACAAGTGAAACAAGCACTGGAACAAATACTTACAAAATACTCATCACCACGACCAGAGCCGTGCCATAGCTTCCCATTTCCGTTTTTGTGCCTGTAGACCACACACAATAAAGGCCATGTTAAAATCAGCTTATGATCATAATAGGTCAAATCTGAATTTCATTTGAAAGAAACTGGAGAAGAATTTTTAAAATTTACTTGCAGTAACAAAATAACTTGAAGGCACTTTACTATGTGCTTTTTAAATTGTCTGATATCCCAAGTAGATTCGTAGAAACAAATATTCAAAAAGAAAAACTGTATCACTACTGAAAATTTGGCCTATAACGAACCCAATTTAAATTAAATAAACAATTCACCACATCATATATTCTCTATAATTAGGTTCTATCCCTGTAAATCATATTTAAGATGAATCTGAGACAATACTTCATTGCTTTAATTTTTTTCTTCAGGGCCAAAGAGATGGTACAGTGGGAAGGACATTTACTTAGTACACAGCCAACCCAAAATCAATCCCTCAGCACCGCATATGCTCCCCTGAACCTGCCAAGAATGATCCCTGAGCACAGAGCTAGGAGTAAGCACTCACGGCCAGATGTAGCCCCAAAACAAAAACACCCAAAACTTAAAAAATCATCCTCATCTGTTTTCTGCTGTTCAAACTTTTACATTTTAAAATTAAAGAGCCACTAAGAGAGCTTCCAGCCCAGTTGACCCACGATCACGGAAGTGACCCCCAGCCCCCTTGAGTGCTGCTTGGGAGACCTCCCGAACCCTCCCCCTGCCCCCCACCCCGACAAAATAAAGAGTAGGTGGTCCTATTCAGATCCCAAAATAAGGCTTGGGCCAGGGCATTTGCTTGCATGGCTCTGGGTTTGATTCCTAGCAACATTTAAAAAAAATTTTTTTTTAAATAAGTTAAAAATACTAGGCTGGAGAGACATATAGTCCCCTAGGCACGTATATAACCCCCGGGTGTGGTCCAAATACCCCTCCCCACTCCCACCCTGCCACACACACAAAATAAAAGACTTAGAAGATGATGTGGTAATATACAGAATCACGAGAAGCTTGGATAACTTTAACTGTCTGAGAAAAAGGGAATAACAGCAGAGGCAAGATGTCTACAAAACTGGGAATGGGGACCAGTGAAAATCAAGTTCCATCTTTGCAATTTTGCTGGGCTTGCCCTGACAGTACATAAGGATGAACATCACAGCATCACTGAAGGGCAGATAAATGTCTCTAAATTCTGGGCAGGGACATCTCCAGAGCAGGGACTGAGGGTCAGTTAGTTCTGGCCACTTCAGTGTCTATATACCCAACTCTAATGGGCAGCAATCACTAAAATCCAACTAAATTGTTGCTTACTAGGAAGGAACTTGGATTGAGGGCTTTCAGACAAGTTTTCACATTAAAAACATCCCATTTTTAAGTGGATCACACACACCCAATGCAGTATTTCTATTGGGGATGGGCCTGCCATTTTTGCAAGTGCTCCTTTATACTTTTACACCTCTTATCTTTTTTTTTCCTTTTGGATCACAACCGGTGATGCACAAGGGTTATTCCTGGCTCATGTACTCAGGAATTACTCCTGGCAGTGCTCAGGGGACCATAAGGGATGCTAGGAATCGAACCCGGGTAAGCCCCATGCAAGGCAAATGCCCGCCTACCCGCTGTGTTATTACTCCAGTCCTTTTTACACTGCTCATCTTCAAGGAACTAAGATTTTGATAAATATGAGAAAGGAAGGGGGGGAGAGGAGAGGGACCGCCTAAGGACTGAGACATTCCATCAATTAGAAATGTATTCTGAAGGCCAGAGAGATAGTGCAGTAGCCTGCACAAGAGCTGACCCCAGTTCAATCATGGGAACCAGATACGGTCCCCTGGGCCCCATCAGGAGAGATTCCTGAGCACAAAGCCAGGAGTAAGCCCTGAGCACAGCTGGGTGTCACCCAACTCCCCATCCCCACCCCACCCACCCCATACACACTCAGAAAGCCAAGACTGGATTCTACACCAATTAAAATCTTCCATCTCTATCAGGGAACATATACCTGCAATATCCCCTTTGGTATCTGGGCCCCCGTCCCCAGAAGAACGCCGAGGAGAAAGTTTAGGAACTGTTTCCAGTGTTTGGTTGAACGTTCGCCTTCTCCTTCTAAGGACAGGAAGTTTTCCAGGATCTTCTATGGGCTGATTTAACATTGATTCTTCCATTAACAAATCTGATTCTAAAGAGGAAAAAGAAACTTTAGATGGCAGAGAAATTTGTCAACTGTAAGAGAAAAGTTATGTTTTCCATTTCCTTTTTAACCCTTGTTATAGCCTAGATTCAATCCTTACTCTTAATGAAAAGCTTCAGAGAATACAGTGATCCCATAATGAGGTTTCAATATTCTAGGAAGAATGAACTGTATTAATAAATGATGGGATCATCAGAGAAAATCTTCCATGTGCTACATTAAATATTAACGAAACGATTTCAGTTATGGAAACAACAGGAGCCTACTTATATTGAATCATTAGAAAGATTTCTACGATACATTATGGTAGCTGGTTGTCATTCTCAAAGAAAGGAGTTGCACGTAATATTTTTTAATTTATAGTGAAGACTTACAAAAAAAGAAGCACTAATAAAATCTGCCAACAACCTAGAAACCTCATTTTCGTCATTTATTTTAACTTCGCCAGTTTTTTTTTATCAAGTTTATTATCCAGTCAAAAACTGATTTTTGAGTTTCATCTTCTCTGCTCCTGATTAGAAATGTCATAATAAAAACAACCAAAGAGAGAAGAAAAAAGGAAAATAATGAACCACTAGACAAAGCCTTATATTACCCTGAGTTGACTGATCTCCAGCTTTTCTTTAACTAGAATTAGCGATCTTCATGAATACTTTCCCCTGCATATATATATTTTTAAGGATATCCAAACAGCATAACAATAGCACGTCCCCCAGTTCACTGCCCATCTCCTCCAAATCCATACACGTATATGCTCCCATTGCTGAGTGGACCTGCAGAAATCCAGGAGGGCTGCCCTGGCCAGGAGGTGCAGACCCAAACACTCTCCAGAGCACGATTTATGAGCACAGTCTGCAGCCCCTGTCCAACCAGCTTTGTTGGTTTCTTACAGGGATTCTGACAGACCCTGTGTGACCTTAACAAGTTACTTCACCTCCCTGTGTGTGTATACTGCAACATCTCTTCTTTAGTAAATTAAAAAAAAAATAGTATCTACCCCACAAAGTTGTAATAAACAGATAGGTAGCAAATACAGCACACAAAATAAGAGCATATAATAAGTTTTATCAAATACTTATTAGACTGGTAAAATTAAAAGCTTAAAATTCTTGAGGCCAAGAGAAAGTACATAGGTTAGCGCACACGCCTTGCATGGGGTCACCATGGTTCAATCCCAGTCCCACCTGACCCTATCTGCACACCCCCTCTGCTTCCCACCAGCATGACCAGGCACAGCCCTGAAAGGGTCTGGAGTATGTCAGGGTGGCCCTGGTACTCCCCAGCACTTAGGGCCAAAGCACATTTCTTGACTCCTCACCTTGACCCATGAACAACAGAGAGTTGGCTGATAATGACCAGGAGGGGCCTCAGGCCTCCTGGGCACTGCCTGGGAGAACCCCCCATTGCCTCCCACAAAAAAATTTAAATTTCAAGTGCAGTAATTGGAATCATCCCAGCAAGTCCCTCTAATATCATCTGAGAGGCTCCCCCTGTTAGTCAAATGAAGAATCAATCCAGTTTGTAATAGATATTCTCTTTTTTAAAAAATGGATCAAACAATGTATTTACAAACCAAGCTTTTTGAAATATTCCTCCAATGAACTCCAAGAATTCTTCTCAATTAAAGATTTGACAAGGGCCCACGGTTGTTTTCTGTATTTCAAATCTGTGGAAACTCTAATCAGATAAAGAGGAAAGAAGAACATTTCGTTAAAGGACATAATTTACTGATGTTAACATTGAGATTCAACGTAAAACTATGTTTAGCTGAAAGGATTCAAAGCTGTTAAGATTGTATCAGAAAAATTTTCTAAAAATAAATAATTATCCTGGGGCTGGAGCAATAGCACAGCGGGTAGGGGTCTTGCACGCACCTTGCACGTGGCCAACCCGGGTTCGATTCCCAGCATCCCACATGGTCCTCTGAGCACTTCCAGGGGCAATTCCTGAGTGCAGAGCCAGGAATAACCCCTGTGCATCACCAGGTGTGACCCAAATAAAGCAAAAACTAACTAACTAAATAAATATCTTGACTGGAACAATAGTACGACAGGCAGGGCACCTGCCTTGTACTAGCGATCCAGATTTGATCTCCAGCACCCCATATGATGATAACCTATGCTCACCAGAAGTGATCCCTGAGCACAGAACCAGGAGTAAGCCCTGAACACCTGCTGAGTGTGACCCAAAAAACAAGGACTAGGGGCCAGAGGGACAGTACAGCAGGTAAGGCATTTGCCAGGGTTCAATCCCTGGAATTGCATATGGTCTCCCAAGTCTGCCAGTTGTGACCCAAAAACCGAGAGAAAAGAGAGAGAGAGAGAGAGAGAGAGAGAGAGAGAGAAACACAATAAATAAAATAATGATCTAACTTTTTTTCTCTGAAAACACTTCCTTTAAAATTACTGTGTACCTTAGTCATCTCTTATATAAGGACTTAGTGGCTTTAAGGTGAGATACAAAATCTTTCTTCTAAGGGAACGTTTTTTGATTATTCTCTTAGAAAATTATTAATAACAAGCAATATTAAATTATTAAGGGCCTGCTATGGAGCAGTCTTAAAGAATGGTTGGGAAAATTGAGACAATGATGGAGAGAAGGCGTAACGGTGGTGGGATTGGTGTTGAAATAAATTCAAGAAAAAAAATTACTGCTGTTCATAATTTCATACAATTTTACTATAAGTACTTGGCGCTTTATTTCTTCCCTTTTGTAGTCCTGTACTTTGTGGGGGGAGGAGGGGCAGAGGGGTTGGTTTGTTCCACCCCAGACAGTGATCAGGGGCTATTCCAGCCTCTATGGTCTGAGGGGCACTAGGAGATGCAATCCAACCCAGCCTGTGGCATGAAAACTATATACTTATCTCCAGCCCCTAGATCTGAACTTTCTTTACTTAAACATCAGTATTCAAAATAAAGAGAGCTTTCTTGGCTGAATTAAAATGTCTTTGAAATAAATGATAAATTTTTAATTGTCATATATGAAAAATATCTAGTGTCATAAACTAGTTGGAAGTCATTACATTAGACGAGACTAAGCTCAGCGTCCAAGGGCCCATGACTATCTTCTTTTGTTTGCTAGTTTTGGGGTCACACCTGGCAGTGCTCAGGGCTTACTCCTGGCTCCGCACTCAGCAATCACTCCTGGCAGTACTCAGGGGACCAGATGGGGTGCCCGGGATCAAACCCAGGTCAAGTGCGTGCAAGGCAAATCCCCCACACGCCTACCAATTAGTTTTGTTTTCATTGCAACAATGTAATTTACATCTGTTCCTCAGGCCCTAAGACTTGGCTCTGTCCCTGGACACGGAGAGCAATTCCCCACCTTTTTCAATTCCAGCCTCGGCTGAAACAACCCCATTCTGGTTGGTGCAGTTCCAGGACCCAAAGACATCATCCCACATGGGATTGTGAGTGAGGAGCTCCATCCCTCTGCTCAGCACGAATAGCCATGTCATTGGAGCCAGATAGAAAGCTGGGGTTTCTGAAAGGCTGTGTGACCAGAGCCTCTGCCAGCTAAAACATTCATGTACGAAAGCTCACCGTAACCGGCATTTCCGTTTGGAAGAGCGGGTGATATAGTATCTGTTCAGTGTATAGAAGTAGTCGTGATAGGGGACATCATGAGTCAGCACTTCTGAATCTATCAGATAGAATTGTGCTTCCCGGCTTTCTTTATACAGTGTCTGCCAAAATAAGAGTTTTGCATGCATAAATTTAATATACCAACTTTCTTGCCAATTTAGAACCACTAAAAAAATAAGCATATATACTTATATGCCAGTTTACATATATATTTAGGTACACTAGGTATACTAGAATTCTTTTTTTTTTATTAGTGAAACACCATGAGGTACAGTTGTAGATTTACTATTTTTTGTGCTTGGGTTTCGATTATACAATGATCAGATACCCATCCCTCCACCAGTGCCCGTTTTTCACCACCAAGGATAATATCCCTCCCACCCCCATCCCCCCATCCCCCCCTGCCTCTGTGGCAGGACAATCCCCTGTGTTCTCTCTCTCCGTTTGGGTGTTGTGGTCTGCAAAAGAGGCATTGAGTGGCAAACATGTTCAGTCCATAGTCCACTTTCGACATGCATCTCCCCTCCTGGGAGGATCCTCCAAACACCCTTTATTTGGTGCTCCCTTCTCTATCTGAACTGCCCTTTCCCCTAGAATACCCGGCTGGCCTCTAAGCTATGGAGTAATCCTCCTGGTGCTGATCTCAGCTATTCTTGGGTATTAATCTCATATTTTGTTACTTTATATCCCCCAGATGAATGCAATCTTTCTATGTCTATCCCTCTCTTTCTGACTCATTTCGCTTAGCATGATACTTTCCATGTTGTACCACTTGTATGTGAATTTCATGACTTCATCTTTTCTAACAGCTACATAGTACTCCATTGTGTAGATGTACCAAAGTTTCTTTAACCAGTCATCTGTTTTTGGGCACTCAGGTTTCTTCCAGTTTCTGGCTATTGTAAAGAGTGCTGCAATGAACAAACAAGTGCAGATGTCACTTCGACTACACATTTTTGCCTCTCTGGGGTATCTTCCCAGGAGTGGTATCGCTGGGTCAAATGGGAGCTCAATTTCTAAGTTTTTGAGAATCGTCCATACTGTTTTCCAGAAGGGCTGAACCAGTCGACATTCCCACCAACAGTGAAGGAGTGTCCCTTTCTTGCCACATCCGCGCCAGCATCGGTTGCTTTTGTTCTTTTGAATGTGGGCCAGTCTCTGAGGTGTGAGATGGTATCTCATTGTGGTTTTGATCTGCATCTCCCTGATGATTAATGATGTAGAGCATTTTCTCATGTGCTTTTTTGCCATTCGGATTTCTTCTTTGAGAAAGTTTCTGTTCATTTCATTGCCCCATTTTTGGATGGGGTTGGATGTTTTCTTCTTGTGGAGTTTAACCAGTATTTTGTATATCCTGGATATCAACCCCTTGTCAGATGTGTATTCGGCGAATATCCTTTCCCATTCTGTAGACTGTCTTTGTATTTTGGTCACTGTTTCTTTGGAGGTGCAGAAGCTTCTTAGTTTAAGATAGTCCCATTTATCTATCTCTGTTTTCACTTGCTCGGCCAGTGGCGTGGCATCTTTGAAGATACCATTAGCTTCAATGTCATGGAGGGTTTTGCCAACTTTGTCTTCAATGTACCTTATGGTTTCTGGTCTGATGTTGAGGTCTTTAATCCATTTTGATCTTACTTTTGTACATGGTGTTAGGCAGAGTTCTGAGCCCATTTCTTTGCATGTAGCCGTCCAGTGATGCCAGCACAATTTGTTAAAGAGGCTTTCCTTACTCCACTTCACATTACTTGCACCTTTATCAAAGATTAGATGATCATATGATTGAGGGGAGATGTCAGTGTATTCAACCCTGTTCCATTGGTCTGCCGTTCTGCCTTTGTTCCAGTACCATGCTGTTTTAATTATTACTGCTTTGTAGTACAGTTTGAAGTTCAGGAGGTTGATTCCTCCCATTTTCTTTTTCCCAAGAATTGCTCTAGCTATTCGTGGGGGCTTATTGTTCCATATAAATTTCAGGAGTGTTTGCTCCATTTCTTTGAAAAATTTCATGGGTATCCTTATAGGGATTGAATTTATACAATGCTTTCGGTAGTATTGCCATTTTGACAATGTCAAGTCTCCCGACCCATGAGCAGGGGATATCTTTCCATTTCCTCATGTCCTCTTTTATTTCCTGAAGTAGCGTTTTGTAGTTTTCTTTGTACAGGTCCTTTACTTCCTTAGTTAAGCTGATTCCTAGGTACTTGATTTTCTGGGGCACAGTTGTGAACGGGATTGTTTTTTTCATGTTGCTTTCTTCTCTCTCACTGTTGGCATATAGGAAAGCCATGGACTTTTGGGTATTGATTTTATAGCCTGCAACTTTACTATACGAGTCTATTGTTTCTAGGAGTTTTTTGGTGGAGGTTATTGGGTTCTCTAAGTAGAGTATCATATCATCTGCGAATAGTGAGAGCTTGATTTCTTCCTTTCCTACCTGAATGCCCTTAATATCTTTTTCTTGCCTAATCGCTATTGCAAGTACTTCCAGTACTATATTGAACAGCAGTGGAGAGAGTGGGCATCCCTGTCTCTTCCCTGATCTTAGAGGGAAGGCTCTCAGTTTTTCCCCATTGAGGATGATGCTTGCTGTAGGCTTGTGGTAGATGGCTTTAATTATGTTGAGGAAGGTCCCCTCTATACCCATTTTGGCTAGGGTTTTCATCATAAAGGGGTGCTGGATCTTGTCAAATGCTTTCTCTGCATCTATTGATATAATCATATGCTTTTTATCTTTTCTTTTGTTGATATGATGATACTAGAATTCTTTCTCACAAATTACAAGACTCGGGAAGTCTATATGCAAAGCCAGCACACTCTCCATGCTGGTTAAGCTCTTAGGGTTTTCTAGAAAGACTGGCCACATCCGGAAGTGTACAGGGACCAGGAGCTGCTCAGAGCAGAGCTCAGCCTAATTTGCATGGTTGAATGTTGGTTAAGAGGAAGAGAGTCGAGCCTGAGCATTAGTACAGTGGGAAGGGCACTTGCCTTTCATGTAGTTCTATTCCTGGCACCCCAATTGGTCCCCAGGACCCCACCAGGAGTGACTCCTGAATGCAGAGCCAGGAGTAAACCCTGAGCACTGCTGGGTGTGCCCTTGCCCCCCTCCAAAAAAAAAAAATACCCCGAGTGTGGGGGACTCCATCTGGTCATGCTCAGGGTCACAGGGACTACACTTGGTGGTGCTGGGGGCCAGGCAGTGCCCAGGATCAATTCGGGGCCTTGCAACACAAACTTGTACTCTACTACCGAGCTGCGTCCCTCCTGGTCCCCATCCTCCAAGGTCAAAGACTCTCCGAAGTTAGAATACAAAGGTCTCTTAAATATTTGAAAACCCTGGGGGATGGGGGTGGGTAAATTAAATCCTTTTTGACGCTAATGAGCAGAAGCTACAATAGTATAACTAGTTCAGATGTAAATACGTTATTTTCCAACTGCTTGCACCATCGGCTAAACCTTAAAACAACCGGGCAAATGCCAACGCCACAGTAAGTCGGGGCCAGCCTGGCAGAGTGGAGCAGGAACTATCTTATCAGCTCTTCCCCATATGCCACAGCAGCCATCTAGCTACTTTGATGCAATCCAGAAAATCAGGTTCAAGAGTGTTCTTTCTTCAAACCATTTATTATTAAAAGTTCAAACAAATGCAAGAGTAGGACTGAATTATCGTGAACCTTCATAAACTCATCTACCAGCCAACAACACTCACATTTGTTAGTCCTATTTCCCCACCCCCCAACCTATATTCCCCTTTCCCACCCCATTCTCTGTTTGACCTTTCAAGGAAATCCCAGACATCAATATAATTTTACCCTTAAATACATCACTGTATTTTATTATAAACTCTTTAGTATATCTCTTTGGAAGATACTTTTCTTTAAAACATAGTGATAGTACCATTATTATACACACCCAGTATTAAAAATTACTTACATATCATCAAATACAATTTAGAGTTGGTATGTTTAAATTAAGATAAAGGCTTATTTGGTTAAAACCTTCTAAAACTTGGGTGGGCGACCAGGATGATACTAGAGCAGATTAAGCATCTGCCTTGCATGTAGCCAAGCCAGATTTGATCCCCAGCAACACATATGGCCCCCAAACATGAGCCTTGAGCACACCCAGATGTGAACCAAACCACCCCACAACCCTGCAGAGGCGGTAAGGTGCTTTCCCTGCATACTGCTAAGCCTGTGTTGACCCTCATCACCTCATTACCATCACCTGGTCCTGGTCCCTGATCATTACTAGGAGTGACCCTAAGCCCAAAGCCAGAAATGCACCTCCCCCCCCAAAAAAAAACACCAAAAACCCAGAAACCCAAAACCCTCTTAGGTTTATCTTATTTTTTCGTGATTGAGCCCGAGGTTTTACTATGCAAAGTATGTGCTCTACTGCCAGTCCCCTTATGTCTCTTTTAATCGTAACCATTTCTACTTTCCACACCCCTCTTGACACTTACTTATGACATTCATGACAAAGCCACTTCAAGACTAGTGAAAACTTGTTGGAATGCTGACCGAGGAGACATACCTGCTTCTCGGTGGCAGAGGTGAACTTTCCAGTGATGGGATTGTTAAGGACTATCGTGTAGGTCATGGTTCTCAGCTGATCACCTCCTGGTTCGACATTCCATGGAGTAGATACTACATCTAATTACAGCAGACAGAAACCACGTTAGTCCTAAAAATGTGAAGTATACGGCTTGAAATGGAACAACAGATATTTTAGAATTATTTACATTTTCATATTTGATCAGTCCTCACTTCCTTATACTGAAAGCGGTGAGTTAAGATAAAAGTAAAATAAAGCATTAAGCATCATGTTCTATGACCGCAATGAATTCACTTCTAAACTGTCTTCTATTAATGCTGTCTTTTATTTTCTTGAGACAATAAAAGTTGATTCATCTGGAACATCTGTCTTAAAGTCTCTACTTGTTTCCAAGAGAAGTAACGGTACCAGCTTATCAAACAGAGATGGATCAACACTTCCACATTCCCATCATGGTGAACAAAACCTTAAAAGACATTATCATTATGCTGCCATATGACTTTGACGGCAACTTGTGAAGAAATTGTGCTAATGAGAAACCATGTAGCACCGTAGCACTGTAGCACTGTCCTCCCGTTGTTATTGATTTGCTCGAGCGGGCCCAGTAACGTCTCCATCGTGAGACTTGTTGTTACTGTGTTTGGCATATTGAATACGTCACGGGGAGCTTGCCAGGCTTTGCCATGCGGGCAAGATACTCTCGGTAGCTTGCCGGGCTCTCCGAGAGGGGTGGAGAAACTATGTACCAAGTATAATTAAATTCATAGAAACAGGAAGTGGAAAGGTGCCCGCCAGGAGTTAGGGGGAGAGGAAAGTGAGTTACTGTCTAGCAGGTTCAGAGTTTCGGTTAAGGGAAGGATGATACAGTTCTGAAAACGGAAGGTGGTGCTGGTTGCTCAGTACTGACAAGTACTTACTGACACACAAAAAAGGTTGAAACTATAAATTTTATGCTACAGGCATTTTACCACAATAAAAAGAATGGCAAATCCGAGTGGTATGTACATGGGTTCTATTACTATTCGCACAGTTTTTCTGAAGATTCACATTTCTTTTAGAGTGAAAAAACTGAGATTCAAAGTATTGTTGCACAACTGTAGGCATTGATTTTTAAAAACCTTCTTTATAAACTACCAGATTTTTATTAATTTATTTAAAAAATTTTTTATTTCTTTTTGGTCACACCCAGAAATCTCAGGGGTTATTCCTGACTCTGCATTCAGGAATTACTCCTTGTGGTGCTCTACTACAATTTTTTTTGTTTTTGTTTTCATTTTTCTTTTTGGGTCACACCTAGCAATGTGCAGGGTTTACTCCTGGCTCTGCACTCAGGAATTATTCCTGGCAGTGCTCAGGGGACCATATGGGATGCTGGGAATCAAACCTGGGTCGGCCTCGTGCAAGGCAAACGCCCAACCCACTGTACTATCGCTCCAGTCCCTCTACTACAATTTCTTTAAAAGTTTTGATCAATTAGTAACCATCTCTGTGCTGAAATGGATTAAATTAATAAATAATTGACTATATACATTTTTTCATTAAATTCTTAAATTTTTATTTACTTTTTTTTTGCTTTTTGGGTAACACCCTGCACTGCTCAGGGGTTACTCCTGGCTCATGCACTCAGGAATTACTCCTGGCGGTGCTCGGGGGACCATATGGGATGCTGGGAATCGAACCCGGGTCCATCACGTGCAAGGCAAAAACCCTACTCGCTGCGCTATTGCTCCAGCCCCAAATTCTTAAAATTTTTTAAAAGATGTTTTGACCATGGTTAAGTGAAATAGGTTGGAGGGAGAAAGACACCTACTGGATAATTTCAGTCAAATGTAGTCTAGAAGGAAAGAAACGATGTCCAGGAAACAATGTCTAAAGTAGACAAACCCAGGGTAGTACAGCAGGTACAGCGATAGTACAGCAGCTAGGGCGTTTGCCTTGCACATAACTGACCCAGGTTCAAGCCCAGGCACCCCAATAATCACCCAAGCCCACGAGGATTGATCGCTGAGCGTAGAGCAGTAATAAGTCCTGAGCACCACCTGGTGTGGCCCAAAGTGGAAAAAAAAAGTAGTCAAACCCTTAAACAGCACTGAGGTGACTGGAAAGCGGGTGTGAGTAGACAGTGGTCTAGGGATACCAGCACATGGATGGTAGGTGTGGGTGTGGGAACACTGTACCCCCAAAACATATAAACATTTACACTCTTGTAATCCAAATTCATTTGTTAATTGTTAAGAAAATTTCTCAAAATGAAAGAAGCCTTTGAAACCAAACTCAAGAAATCCAACATGGATAACCAAGGAAGAAATTCCGAAGATAGCAAAATTGTATGCCATCAAAGGCTGCTGTGAGCAGACGCCCTCACTGGGGGCAAGCTTCCTGACTAACTCTAAGTCTGAATGGTACGGTGCCATGACAGTTTAGATCTGGAATTGGCCAGGGTTTTTTTGATACTTGAATTCATATTGATAATAAGGCCTATGCATGTTATGTTTACATAAAAGTTGCAAATCAAAGGCATCTAATGATTGATAAAATATTTTGTTATAAAACATATTATTATTATTGTAATTTTTATTATTGCTGTCAAGGCAACATGTTTGAAAGTTTTAACACTTAAAATTTTTTAAAATTTTTTAGTAGTGAGTCACCGTGAGGTACAGTTACAATCTTACAAACTTTCATGCTTGCGTTTTCAGTAATACAACATTTACAGTTTTGATGGCACCTCACTGTAGGATAACACTCTTTTGTCCTTCCTCAGGTAGCTTAGGTTTGTCAGGTCACACCCATCTAAGGACACTGAACTTGTATTGTAAGCAATGTCCTTTCTGTGTGGACACAGGAAGACAGTTAATATTATGCTTTGTAACTTGGGAGTTGATTGACTCCGAATAATATTTACTCCTGGGCATGTGATTTCTTGACTCAGTTGCCCTTAGTTCCTAGCACCCCAAAAGCAGGGTCCCGACGAGGGACTGAATGGACCCAGGGCAAGCAGTGAGCTACCCTGGCATCGAAATGGGCTAGGCCAAAGCATCACGATACTCAACTATAAGTTGAGGGCATGATCATGGACAAATGCTGTCATGATCCAAAAGTAAGTAACAACGAGACTAGGACTCTGCTGGAGCTAGGAAGATTAACCTGGCCTGAGGACTGCGGAATGTATAGTGAGATGTTCTCAGGAAGAACCAAACTAAGTTTACGTCTCTTACTGTGCTCATACAGATATTGCTAGAAATATTAGAAGTAGAATTATTACAACTATTTAAGTAGATTACTAACTGAGGGAAGAACACACCCTTGTTGGGATCCCACCCTTGAGCAGATCTCCTAGTAATCTGGAGTAATCTCTGTAGATGAGATTTTATCCTTGAGTTAATCTCCTGGAGGAGTGTTCTTACCTCTCTGTGTTGATTCGTCAATATTTAACCCACCTTTATGTCACCGCCTTATGTGACTGCTGTATAAACAATAAGGTAATCTTGGAGGAGGAGACTCAGAAGTAAGAGAGCTCGGGCTCCAGAGATCCAGAATCAGAGCCAGAAGGAGAGAGAGAGGTTCCAAGATTGGGGCCCAGGAGAGAAGGAGGCAGAGAAAGACAGGAGTGAAGAGGATTGGAATAAACTACTATTGATATAGACCGGCCTGGCCCTCGTTTCTTCTTCCGTCTACCCTTGGCCAACAGCCATTCCGATCCAGGCCACATACAGCGGCTCAAGAGCACCAAACGCAGGCGGTGAGACAGTGCCATCCAGTGAGCCCGTGAACACACAACCTTCGGTGTGTTAAGATTTTACACCTCACCACAACCAAAATGACAAAAACCCTTCACCAAGAGCCTTGTGTCTGGTCCACTCCTGCATATCTCCCGACTACTGCCACCCCACAGCCTGGGCATTTCAAGTTTGTAATCAAGGCCAAGGATTTGTCATCGTTCCAGACTCTCTATTTCCTTCTTTTGTTTTGTTTCTCTATATAACACAGATGAGTGTGATCATCTGGTATTTGTTCTTCCCTCTCTGACTTATTTCACTCCACTTCCATTCGAGTTGCAGCAAGATACAAGATTCCACCTTTTCTTATAGCTACACAGTATTGCACTGTGTTTACACGCCATAATTTCTTTATCCACTCATCTGTTATTGGACATTTGGCTTGTTTCTATGGCCTGGCTACTGAATAAGTCCTGCAATGAACACAGGTGTATGTAATCTTTGTGAATTCATTTTTGTGTATAAACCTTATTTAATTTGACCAAAGAACAAATTTCTCTTTGCCTGTGTCAGTGACTCAGTGTGTGAATCTCTGCCGCATTGTAATATTATATAGTAAGCTAAGTCACGTACTCCCAAATGTCATAAAATACCTACAAATATTTTTAATATTTTCACTCTGAAAACATAAATCAAGTTATATAGGCTCAAGCTACTAAAGATAATAAAGTTCTCCCAAATTGATTTTTTTCATCAGAACACAGGACTGACCTATAATATTTCTAGAATTGGCAAACCTCTGCATAAAGTGTGAACTGGTGAAGAGTAATTCAAACATTCTCTCAGCACTGATATGAAAAACACGATTGATATAAAGTCTTCCATGAAGATCCTTCTCAGGAATATTTTCTGTGGAACAAAACACACACAAAGAGAAAAAAAAATCACAGAAAGGTAAATTTAAAGTTTTATTTTATTTTATTTTGGAACAAAATGGTTTTAAAATGTGATTAAAATGACTGGCACATTTCAAGATATTATTAAAATCCAAATAGATATTATATACATATGTGCTAAATATAACTAACACTGTCCTCCCATTGTTCATCGATTTGCTCGAGCAGGTCCAGTAACGTCTTCATTTGAGACTTGTTACCATGTTTGGCATATTGAATACGTCACAGGGAGTTTGCCAGGCTTTGCCGTGCGGGTGAGATACTCTTGGTAGCTTGCCATGCTCTCTGACAGGAGCAGAGGAATCGAACCCAGCTCGGCCAGACCGGGCTGGCTGCGCGCAAGGCAAACGCCCTACCACTGTGCTATCGCTCCAGCCCAAATATACTTTTTTTTCACAACTTTTACAGAGATAGAGGTGGTGAAAGTTTCTTGAAATATAACTATAAATAACAATATATAGTTAAGCTATCTATCATCACTTTTTCGATTATAAACCCCTCAAAGATAAAGAAATATTCTTTGAATGACAAAGAGCTCCCAAAATCTCTCACTCACAAGAATACTTCAATAGAGATCAGGGAAATGCAAAGAGACACCTGGGGTGGTACCTACCCTAGCAATTAGCAGTTTTCATTTCTGAAAGTGTCTATGTGTGGAAAATATCAACCCTGATGGTTCCAACACTGCCACTCACCCTCACTGGCTCACCCAAATTGCGCCTCAAACTTGACATCAAGCAGTCTCCCGCATGCAGCTATCATCATACCCACAACCGAGTCACAAAGAACTCATACTGAAAAAAAAAAAATTCTTCAGAACTCAATCATGTCCAGTGGAATATTTTGATTTTTCAGGAATACGATCATTGTAACCTGCCCACAGGGCAGAGTCTGGCAAACTCCCCGTGGCGTACCCAATATGCCAAATACCAGTAACAATGATGGGTCTCATTCTCTTAACCCTGAAAGAGCCTTGAATATGGCACATTTTTTAAAAATCTCAGGGCTAGGACAAAGGAGACGTTACTGGGGCCTGCTCGAGGCAATCGACGAACAACAATCATGATAGTGATGTTGAAAACTGCATAAGGAATGAAGGAGCAGAATCTGCTCAGCTCATTTCATCTTCCCTGGAAATACAATGTAGAAAGAAGAGCCCACACCCTGGGGGCTTGCTATATGTTAGGCACGAGATAAGCACCCAAGAAGTATCCACTCATCTCTTTCTCACAGCAAGCCTGTGAAATAACTGCCATTGTCATTAGCTCCATTGTACAGCGGAGCAAACTGAGGCACAAAGAGAACGTCAAAGCTCCATGGCTAGTGTGAGTGACGGGACTGGTGTTTGAATTTACCTACCCAAACTTCAGAACACATTGACGTTGGGACGGGGGGGGGGGGGGGGGGGGGGAGGGAGTGTTGATGAGAATTTAGCTCAGGTGAATAAAGGCCTCAGCGGGGCGGGGAGCTAGAAATTGGAGCCTGGAAAAGCAATCCGAGTCCTTGATGATTTCAGGACTAGGATTACCTATCAATTACTTCTTCTTTCAAACCCTATTGATACAGATGAGGACTGTGAGAAGCTCCCCGTGTTTCGTAAATCAAGCACTGAGCGTCATCTGTAGGCAGCACCTGTCGATACTAATCCAGGCGAAGCGGTCCTGTAAACTAAAAGCTGTGATCTAAGCACTTCGAGCTCTGCCTTGGCCTCCTACTGTTGCTTTTTCTCCCTCATTAGATGATTTGTGTCTCTTTAGTTTGCCACAGGTAGGGCCATCCAGTCACCATCTCCCGGCTTTTATCTCCTATGCAGACAAAAGCTCTTTACTGCTGCTTCAATAATGACTCCTGGACAGAAACAAATCACTAAAACAGGGCAGCCTGTGAAGGTTTGGTGAGGTAACATCTCAATCAGGGCTGAAAAATAGCTTTTTCTGACTTAGAAGCGATAGTCGCTCATTGCAAAGGGAATTCAGATAATCACAAGAAGACTAAACAAACACGGGAGAAATGTCTCCGTCAGAGGGGTGCCGGGCATTGACTGCTTTCTAATCTGCTCAGAACCTGATCACTGGGTGAATCGGCTGTCTAGCAGCTTTCCCTACTGCAGTTACTATCTCCTCCTTGCCAGATTCCATTTGTCACAAATGACTCAGTAAATTCAGCCCATGGTCAAGTGGAGGAGGATTAAGCTCCACTCTGTGGAGAGGGGAGTGTGAACACCCTGTGCTCTCCCCCACTTCTGTATTTAGCCAATTATTTATAACCTTGAATACAAAGAATTATTTTATTCTCTTAGGTTATGTCCCAATACTATTTTGCTTATGAAGCTTTTTTTTTTTTTTTTTGCCATTAGAAACTCTTTCAGTCGACACAGTGTCCTTTTGGCACACCTCTTTTTTTTTTTTTTTTTTTTTTTTGCTATTGAACAGCAATTCTCTATTTTTTTTGGCACTACAAAGTGCTTCAAGCATTGTGTAAATTCCTCCCTCCCAGAGAACCATTTCTCTAGGAGTCCCTGGACTGAAATTTTTCCAAAGTAAGCCTGAATAAGAAATGTAATATACTTTCATATTTCATTGAGGCCCTCTATTTTATTATCTTATTCCTCGGAAAATGTTGTTCCATTTTCCAAGGGATAAGATAGAATTTGTGATATGACTGCTGTACTATTAACAATAATATGGAATCTTTTGTAAGTAAATTTGTTCCAGCAAGAAAGGACTTGGAAAAAACTGCCCCCCACCTGAAATTATTTACTTGTGAAATTCATAGTATTTTTGTGGGTGTGTGTGGCTTTTTGGCTTACCCCTGGCAATGTTCAGGGGTTACTCCTGGTTCTCTCCACTTGGGAATTACTCCTGGCAGTGCTCGGGGGAACCATATGGATTCCCGGGAATCCAACCTGGGTTGGCCACATGCAAGGTAAACACCCTACCTGCTGTACTCTCGCTCCAGCCCCAATTCATAGTATTTTAAAGACTTAAAACTGGGGTCAGAGTGATGGTACAAGTCGGTAGGGTCCTTGCCTTGTATGCAGCCGACCCAGGTCCAACCTCCAGCACTCCAGAAGGTCCCCTGAGCCCTGGGGAGCATGTCAGGAGTGATCCCTGAGCACATAGCCAGGATTAACCCCTGAGCACAGCCAGGTGCAGCCCCAAACAAAAACAAAAGAAAACAAAAATAAAGCCTCAAATCCTAGCAGCATTTCCAGGAAATATAACATGTTCAACTAGCAGGTGGTATTTACTGCTTACATCTAACAGCTACCCCAGCAGTGCGCTGGGGGTGGTGGGGCTCGGGGGACGGGTCTGGACCATTCAGCAGTGCTGTATCTAGATCTGCTGGCCTGATCATTTGGTGCTGGAACCCAGTGGCTGCAGGAGATGAGGTGTCAGGGATCGAACTCAGGGCCTCGCATACTTCAGGCAGTATGTTAAATAGGGCAAGGAACTCTGCTGAAATTGGCAGCAGGCAACTGTTTCCAATTAAGGACGAGTATTTTATCCAACGTACCAGTTTGAAAGCAGTCAGTGGAAATGAAGCTACTATCAGGAAAGGTGAACAACAGAAGGAAGTGGACATGAATAAAATGGAAATCGTAGAGTAAGAGCATTTAGAAGGAGCATGAGAAGCACGCTAGGTTCAGTATGCAAGGAAAGTTGATTTGGTGTTTAAGTGAATTCTGAACAACAAACAACTTTTTATTGCCCATTCGCTGACAGCTGGTGGCCTGCTAGCTTCCTGACTCACCTCGAGGGATTTCTTTAGACCAGAAAAACCGAATGCAATTTAAGTGTCATTCAAAACCCTGGCTTACCTAACTGTGTTCGCCTCATGGTTCTTTCTTGACACAGTAACCCACTTAGCTGCTTTTTCTCTGCCTTTGCCTAGAGATCTCCATGGCCTTGCCTTTATTAATTAATAAGCCCCAGCTGATATTCAGACTCCTGTTTTTGTGTGTGGTTTGGCCTCCCTGTGTTCAGTCATCTGTGGATCACAGGTTCCAATCTTGCCCTGCGCTGCCCCACATCAGAGATGGACCTGTAAGATCTACCCACTGGGGCAGAGCAAGGGGTGGAAGTTACCACAGGCTGAGGGCGCTCCTGGCCTGGCTCAGTCTACGTTCTAGTCACAGTGAACCTGCCACACCAAGTTCTAAACCCTGGACAATGAAACCAATCTTCTGTCATCATGACACCATCCAGGGGGTCTGGTGGGCTCAGCTGGTATGTTAACTTCCACACCTGGCTCTGCTTTCAGGGGCATGTCTCTCACAGTCCTGCCTGCGACCTGGGAGCACAGTGGAAATGAGCCTTGACAAGAGCCCAAAGATTGGAGTCCCCCAAAGAGCCACCACTTCCTGGTGCTTGGATGTGGGTCAACTTTGCCAATTCTTCTTCACTGACAGGAAAGTCCCTACTCTGAACTCCTTCCCCCCCAAACCAGATAAGTAGCTAATGAGTTGGAGAAAGTCTCTCAGCAACAACTCTTTAAATACGGAAGTTCCATAGTCTATTCTGTGCATGACTGTGTACCCAAGTTTTCAATGCGTAATATGGTTTAACCGATGAATGCACAATGCTTAGCATTTTATTCAGCAGCTAGAGGCCCAGAAGGCATTTCTGGAAATAGGGAAATAACTATAAAGAGAGCAATTCTCTATCTTGGTGAGTTCTAGACTGCCACGGTATAGAGAACAAAGACTGAAAATGAAGGGCTGGAACGATAGCACAGTGGGTAGGGCATTTGTCTTGCAGGAGGCCGACCCGGGTTCAATTCCCAGCATCCCATATAGTCCCCCGAGCACTGCCAGGAGTAATTCCTGAGTGCACGAGCCCGGAGTAACCCCTGTGCATCGCCAGGTATGACCCAAAAAGTCCTCCCTCCCCCGCCAAAAAAAAAAAAAGACTGAAAATGAGGAAAGTCAGAACAGATTATGGTCTAACTTTCTCAATCCGAGCTGCACTGGGGACTCCTCAAAGGCCTGGGCTGGGCTGGGGACAGGGCACACAGAATAGCAGTTAAGGGACTGACCCTGGATCAATCACAAACAGCACGTATGGTTGCCCAAGCACTGCCAGGAGTGACACCTGAGCACACAGCCTAACCCTACACCACCCACAAAACAAAAATGAATAAATAAATAATGGCTTGGGCTAAAGGTTAGTTTAGGGTACTCCATGATATACACATGTCATGTTGTTCCTGTGTGGTGAATTCTCTCAAGACTAATTGTGTCCAGTGGGTGTTTCTACAATAAGGTGATGCAGTAGCACTTCCCAAAGATAATACCCAACAGGTGATAGGAAGAACAAATCTCATTTTCTCACTCAGTGTATCACAATGATTGCTCAAGACCAAATTACTGTCTTTTTAAAATAAAATGCTGTTTCCTTTAACTACTACAGAGACTGCACTCAGCCCATGAAACTGTTCCTCTGCCCTGTCGAGCTCCTCTAATTTCTATTTCATTAATATGTTACCATATTATAAACATTGATTGTTAGCTTTGGTATTGGGGAACACGTGGCGGTGCTCAGGGCTCACTCCCGGCTCTGTGCTCAAGGGTGCTACTCAGGGACCGTATGTGGTACCAGGATGGCCGCATGCAAGACAAGCATCTGAACTCCAGTACTAGCTCTCCAGCACTCCTACTGCACTTTTAAATCCACATATACATATTTCCAAATTTCTGGGAATGTTTGCTTCTTTGACTTTTTTTTCCAGTTTACCGATAACGTCAAAGCTTGCAGAAAATAAGAAGACTAGACTACTCCAATAGTTATTTATAAGGGCCAGAAAGATGACACACCCATGCACAGACTTTTACGCATGGGATCCCTGCTCCTTGTTACCTCTGAGCACTGCCGGTGTAGCGCTGGTGGTCCTTGGCACCACTGGGCTGGAGCTGTATCCTCGGGCCTTTCCACCCAGCTGGCTACACATCACCTGAAGAGGCCCCCAGACACCCAAAGTACCACCTGGAGAATCCCCTTAAAAATTAAACTTTATTTACATTACCCATTTAATGTATGTAAATCTACAATTTTAGACACTTCCTAGGCAAAGCAATTAGAAGTATCTAATTTCTTATCCAAGAATAATCTAATCAAAGTTTAAAAAAAAATCATGTGAAGAAAGCCTCCAAAGACAGAGGCTGTCTATTACACGCATGTTTTTAAGATAAAGCTGAACAGTCCTGGGAGGGGCATCAAAAAAGGGACAAAACGTGATGACGTCTACCCCAAGGGCCCCAAAACACTATTTTGAAAAGACATTTGCACTCCTATGTTCACTGCACCACTATTCACAACAGCAAAACATGGAAACAACCCAAATGTCCACGGACAGATGACTGGATAGAGAAACTGTGACGGGCAATAAAATAGTACTCGCTATAAGAAAAGAAGAAATCACGTGATTCGCCACCATATGGGTAGATCTGGAGAGTATCAGGCTGAGTGAAGTTAGCCAAAAGGAGAGATGGATATGAACTGATCTCTCTCCTATGTAGAACATAAAGATACACTAAGGGAATAACAAAAGGCCACAGCCAAAAGAATATGAAAACTGGCCTACAGAACTGACCTTACCAAGGGTGGGAGGCAGGTGGGTGGTGAGTGACAGAGAATACTGGAATAATGCTAGAAGGAAGTAGACATCATTGTGGCGGGTATGGTATTGGGATGCTGTACACATGGAATCATATTGTAACCAGTTCCATAACATGGTTTTATACACATGACACATTAAATCACAGTGTCTCAAATTAAAATTAAAAATCCACACACCAAAAAATAGTGATAGCATTTATATGCAATACAGAAACAATATAAAAACATTTATCTTTCCTTATTCTAGACATGAGCAAAACTCTTCTGAGTTGTATTGATATTCTTTAGATAGCTAAGATTAGTATAATTGGATAGGAATTCAATAATAAAACTATTTTTAAGGATTGTTCTCATTAAATACAAAAACAAGAAAAAGCAGTTCAGGAAAAATTCTTGTTTTGGTGTCACTTATCTCTCTGGCCACTGGGTGCCAGAGAAGATCTTCCGAAAGTGAGAGGTTCAGTAAAGGCTGAGGAATTCATTCCCACTGCATGCCAAAGAACGCAAGGTACCCACACTAGGCTAATCTTCCATGGGGCTTCCTCATTTCAAAAAAATTTCCTCCCAGCTATCTTTTCAAAAGAACCCAACAACTGTCTTCTGAGTGCATTCAATGACGTTACACACAAACGCCAAGAACAGACCATATAAGAACAGAGCAGAAGGGCTGCCCTCTGAGCGAGGAGGAGTCACTCTCCCGAAACTAACCATCTAGGCTTCCAGCCTCCGGAACCATGGCAAAGAGACTTCTGTTGTGTAAGCTACCAGTCTGTGATATTTTGTAAGGTCAACTACCACAATCAGTAAACGAGAAGGAGCCTATGAAGCAGGCTAACACCTCTGGCCTTCTTTCTCCTGAGAACCAAGTGACCTCATAAGCCAATGCTCCTCCAGGGATGATCGTCCTTCAAAGGAGGTTGTCCGGCCTGGCCTGTGGCTATTTGGGTGAGACTATGTCACACTGCCGCTAGGCCAGTAGCGCCTGGCCAGCAGCCCACACGTCTCTCACACAGGCCTATAGCTTCAATTTGCATCACTAGTATTTGTGACTTGCTCTCTTTTTTTCTTTCACTACCAGCTAGAGTTGGTGATTGAGAAAGGATTCTATTTGTTAAGCTAGAATAACACAGTCACATTTTGTGGCTCGAGGAATATATATGAAACCCCTTACCTTCGTCAACAGAATCTGAAGAGCTGCTTTTGTCCAGAGAAAGATACTCATTTTTGTTTAAGTCCAGTGATTTTGACGGGACTCTACTTAGCCTCAGTCCTGGGGTTAGCAAAGGACTCTTTTTCATCTGTTTCTCATTCTGTGCTTCTTCTTTCCCTAACCCCTAAAAGGCAAACCAATCAGTTTGAAAAACAGATCACAGATTCTAATTTTACACTGATATGTTTAATAATAAAGATGTTTTGAAACACTCTAAAATATTTATGTACACATATATTTCCAATTCAGTTCATAAAAACATCAGCAAATTATATGTGTATTTATATACATATGATTATATATAGTCAAGTAATCTTTTTACACAGTAATTAACAACAAATCATCATATTAAAAAGAACCCCCAGACAGCTAACATCATATGAACCACTTATGCAGAAGGGAAAGGGAAGAAAGGTTAAAAAAAATAAACTGGTTATATTAGGTGAGTAAGGAAGAAAAATCAAATCAAGTTAGTTTACCCACACAATATATGCCCCAACATCTCAAAAACAGAACTTACCATCTTTCAAGACATGTAACTATTGGGGAAAATGAAAGAAAATACAAAGAGAAAAGGCATGTAAGAGTACAGTTGGAGAAAAATAATTGAAAGGAAAAATTAATTTCACAGTTTCTTGTAAGAATACAAATGACTGAATGCCCTGCCACAGAGGCAGGGTAGGATGGGGGGGATGGGGGTGGGAGGGATAATGGGATCAGTGATGGTGGAGAATGGGCACTGGTGGAGGGATGGGTGCTAGATCATTGTATAACTGAAACCCAAGCACAAAAAATTGTAAGTCTACAACTGTACCTCATAGTGTTTCACTAATAAAAATTTTTAAAAAAAAGAATACAAATGACTTCACTGTTAAGGCACTAAGAGATACAGTATGTACTCAATATATCTGATGTTATCTATATCTTTTGGGAGTAGCTTAATAAAGAAGGTAGTTTCTATAGCAATAGTAACATTGGGCTTTAAAAGGATGAATGCTATTGATGTTAGTATTTTAGTAAAACAGTACAATAAATAAGCTTAATAGAGGTATAAACTATAGAGTAAAGCTCTTTCCTGCACTGTCTGTATAAACAAATGAAAGAGAGGGTGAAAATACAATCCTTACACATCCTGCCTCCTGAGATCTTTGAATATCACCAAACAGCAAAGGCAGCTCCAGGGAGCACCCGCGTTTCCACGGGCCAACCAGAAAGCAAAATAACAACTGAGACCCAAGACGCAGTTTATTAAAAGGCCTTACTCTCCTCATGAGAGAATGAATTCTTCAAACAGAGATTACTGCTAAAATCGTGACTTGATTGATCTCGGAGTTCAGACAACTGAGCAACATCAGGAACTCTTGAACAGGGCTGAGTCAAGTATGTTTCCACTTAAATTTTCTCCTGTTTTCTAACTAAGATATAGTTTCAATTACAAGGAAAACAGAGAAGGAGACTAGGAGAGGGACATGAATCAGTACAGAGTGGACACATACATTCATTTTCAATGATGCGGACTTGTATATAATGTTATAATGTTTTTAGTAATGTTCCATTACCCAAATATATGAAAAGATACCTATAGGAAAAGTAACAGACTTTTTTTCTTTTTTCTTTTTGGGTCACACCTGGCAATGCACAGGGGTTACTCCTGGCTCTGCACTCAGGAGTTACTCCTGGCGGTGCTCGGGGGACCATATGGGATGCTGGGAATTGAACCTGGGTTGGCAGCGTGCAAGGCAAATGCCCTACCCGCTGTGCTATCGCTCCAGCCCCAGTAACAGACTTTTTCTTTGAGTGTGTAGCATCTGGCCTATTTAAATTTCTGTGCATACATATATGTATGCATGCACATAATTCTTGCAAAGGGCTTTAATTTAATGCTTAAAAGTTACTTTCGTCTAAGAAAAATGTTATCTATGACGTTTTGTTATTTATGAGTTTCTTTGATAGTGAAAATGAAACAGTTGACGTATGACATTTGTTGTCGTCTGAGAATGTTATCAAACTGCTATTATATACAAGGGAAATTAAGGGTTAAATTTCAGTTTCACTATTTTCCAGCATCCAAAACATTAATATTAAACATCAACGAATGTATGATTGATCTTAAAGCATTAAATTATTCCTCCAAATTTCACTCCCTTTCCTCAGCAATAATATGACCTTCTTCGGGGGAAAAAAAAGCTAGGAGCAAGAACAGATGGGACCAAAGCCATTTACCACAAGCACTATTCTCAATGGGGAAAATCTAAAATCCTTCCTTTTAAGATAAAGCACTAGACAAGGTTGTCCACTCTCACCACTACTATTCAATATAGTACTGAAAATACTGGCCATAGCAGTAGTAGACAAGGAAAAGGTATCAGGGGCATCCAGATAGAAAAGGAAGAAGTCAGGTTTTCACTATTTAGTAACATGATACTATATTTTTTAAATCCTAAATACTCTACAGAAAAGTTACCAGAAACTGTAGATTTGTATAGTAAAGTGGCAGCTTCCAAAATCAATACCCAAAAGTTTATGGCTATCCTACATACAAATATTGGTGAGGATATGGAGAAGAAGGAACCCTCATTCACTGTTGATGGGAACATCAGTGAGTTCAGCCCCTGTGGAATATAGCATAGAGACTTCTCAAAACATAAAACTAGAACCACCCTATGATCCAGCAACTCCACTCAGAGGATTGTATCCCAGGAACACAAAATCATTGATTTGAAAAGATATGTGTACATCTATGTCCAATGCAGCACTATTTATAATAGCCCAAATCTGAAAACATCCCATGTAATGTGACAGATGAGTGGATATAAAAATGTGGTATTTGTACACAATGGTAGACAATTCAAAGATGAAAAGATGAAACATTGCGTTATGCTATCTGTAGCTGAACCTAGAGGAGGTTCACTTAGAAAAGTATGTCATAAGGAGAGAGAAAAACACTAGGTGATGTAACTCAGATATGATTATGTATCACTGTATCATTATGTATAATTATGTAAAGAAACAAAACAAGAGAACAATGTCCACTGAAAAATTCTTACCATAAATTTGAAGTCCAGGGAAGAGGGGGACTGGAAGTGCCCACTGGACTGTGGTAAAGATATTAGCACTCAGAGCAGGCATGGTAATAATACTGTACCCCATAATACATAAAATTATTTACACACTTTTTAAAAAAAAAGTTTTTTTTCTTTTTAGGTCACACCCGGTGATGCACAGGGGTTACTCCTGGCTCATGCACTCAGGAATTACTCCTGGCGGTGCTCAGGGGACAATATGGGATGCTGGGAATCGAACCCCGGTAGGCTGTGTGCAAGGCAAACGCCCTACCCTCTGTGCTATAGCTCCAGCCCCTATTTACACTCTTTTAATCCCGTGTCATTGCAATAAAAAATAAATTTTAAAAACTGATAAGTTCATTCCTAATAACACTTGATAGAATACAGGGAGAAAAGAACCATGAAACCCAGCAATTAATGGCATGTGTCTATTTTAGCAGACAAGTTTAGAAGAATCTACTACTTATTACTGAAGCCAACTACTCAAAGTCCTCATCTCCCCCACCAAGTTTCTAGCACATATACAACTTTAAAATAAAAACAAAAAGAAGAAGAAAAAAAGAAATAAACACATACACTTACTCTGGGGGGTGGGTGTAGAGAGCAACTACAAATCTCTCCTTTTTATATTTGTAATTCCATCTATTTCTGTTAAAGACCCTGGCTCGCTCTGGGAACAATCCGGTAGCTCTACACTCTAGCCAACTCTGAATAAACCACATATGATTCCCATTTAACCTCTGATGCTTTCATATTTTAAATCTTCTTTTAAAATAAAAGGGCAGACTGGCAAGCATCTTAACTTGTTGAACATTTGTATATTGTATTTAATTTGATCTTATATTATGATTAATGCATGCCCATGCCCACATTCAATATATTTTAAAATAGAAATCACACACTAACCACTTTTGGTGAATTTCCATCATTTGATTCTGTTTCTGAAACACGAATTGATTCACGAGTGGAATTGGTTGACTTAGATAATTTTTCTTCTCTCTCACCAAAGTCTTCCAAACTGCTTCTTCCTGGACTTCTACAAGAAACACATTGCAGACACATCAGCAAAGTCACGTTCACACAAATAAGGCATCTGGTCTCTTTACTGATCATTTCTATTTAAAGCATTTGGAGAAGACTATTATAAATGTCCTTGAGGTTGTTTTTCTTCTCTCAAACCGTGATAGAATTTCCTGTGTTCAACCTCACTGAGAAATGATTCCCATGTAATCACTGCTGCATCAAGACTTAAAGCTCTTCTAAAGTAAAATGTGAGCCTGATATAATAAGCCAAATTAGCCTGAAGGAGAAAAGCTAAAGGTCATTTTAAAACCATTTTACTCCACCCAAATAATTCTTTTTTTTCCTTCTGCTTTTTGGGTCACACTTGGCAATGCATAGGGGTTACTCCTGGCTCATGCACTCAGGAATTACTCCTGGCGGTGCTTGGGGGACCATATGGGATGCTGGGAATCGAACCCGGGTCGGCCACATGCAAGGCAAACGCCCTACATGCTGTGCTATCGCTCCAGCCCCATCTACCCAAATAATTCTTAAGCCAACTCCCAGGAAACTCTTGGCCAGGCACAATAGCAGGACTCTGAGGAAATCAAAAAAGAAAAATGTTTCTTTGGAACTAATCTAGCTGACTGTACTTGAGGATTTTAAGAATAGAGGCAAGTGGTTGTAAAGAGAGTACAGTAGGTATGGCACTTGCCATGCATGCAGTCAAGCCTCGTTTAATCCCGGCCCCACATATGGTTCTCCCAAAGCAGGGCCAGCTGCCACTTCTGAGCACAGAGCCAGAAATAGCTCCTGAGCACTGCTGGGTATGGCCTCAAACAAACAGAACAGAACAGACTAGCAAGTTGTAAAAAAGGAAAAAATTGAGAAGGGAGAGTGACTAAGATTGAAAATGAAGATAAGAGAAAATGGAAGAGCATGGAAAAAAAGATGTAAGACAGATTGGCTTTTTCCTTTTCTGGAAGGATGGGAAAAGGAATAGACGAGAAAATGAGGGAACTGCCATGTTTTCTTAGAAAGCACTTCATCACCAGAACATCAGGAAAGAACAGCTATTCCGGTAACCACAAAAATCTGGAGATTCTCTAGTGTATAAAGCAGCTGGTGAAAGTATTCTAGGGGTCAGAGAAACAGAACTGGGGTTAAGTCACTTGTCTTGCAAGTGGTCAAAACTGGTTCATCCCTAACATTACAGATGGTCCTCTGAGCACAAGAAGTGATTCCTTAGAACAAATCCAGGAATAAGCCAGAAGGACTTCTGAGTGTATCCTAAAACCCAACCCCCAAATCATCTCGAGGCTGGAGAGATTGACAGTAAGGACACTTGCTTTGCATGCAGCCAATCCCTGGTTTGAATCTACATATGGTCCCTGAGTACCGCCAAGAATCACTCCTAAACACAGAACCAGGAATAGCCCCTTAGCACACCCCCAAACAAATATTTTTTCCATGAAAATCTAAACAACAATAAGATATCACCTTACACCAATGAGAATGGCATATATCAGTATCAATAAGAAATAATCAGTATTGGTAAAATATGTTGTTACTGTGTTTGGCATATCAAATACGTCACGGGGAACTTGCCAGGCACTGCCGCGCGGGCGAGATACTCTCGGTAGCTTGCCAGGCTCTCCGAGAGGGGCGGAGGAATCGAACTCGGGTTGGCCATGTTGGCTGCGTGCAAGGCAAACGCCCTACCGCTGTGCTATCACTCCAGTCCCATTTAATACCCATTAAAATATGGTTACAAAGCACTGTATCACTGTCCTCCCGTGGTTCATCGATTTGCTCGAGTGGGCCCAGTAACGTCTCCATTGTGAGACTTGTTGTTACTGTGTTTGGCATATCGAATACCTCATGCCAGCCTTTACCATGCGGGCGAAATACTCTCAGTAGCTTGCCAGGCTCTCCGAGAGGGGCAGAGGAATAGAACTCAGGTTGGCCATGTTGACCACGTGCAAGGCAAACGCCCTACCTGCTGTGCTATACATACATATATGCACATACATGTACATACATATTTAATTTTGTTATTTTATTTTGGCAAAAATTCATTTTTACCAAGCCTCGTGAAAATTTTCTTTCTGCTACCTTCACTCAAATGCACCACCACCACCACCACCACAACAACAACAAAAGACCATGATTCATGGTGGGAAGGCCAACTGGTTCAGCCTCTGTGGAAAATTGTAGCGGGATTCCTCAAAATGGTAGAGATTATGACCTAGCAATCTGGAACCTCCTGTCAAAAAAATCCCAAAACAAAAACATTAATCCAAAATATTTATGCACACTTATATGCTTTCCCACATTTGGTACAATAACCAGGATATGGTAACAACTCTAGTATCCAACGGTAAATGAGAGGCTAAAGAAGCTTTTGCATAATACAAAATGGAATACTGTATAGCTATAAGAAGAGACAGAATCATGCATTTTGCTGCAACGTGGATAAAATCAGAGGGTACCAGCAGAGAGAAAAGAACAAACACTGGATGATCTCACTCATCTGTGGTTTATAATGAAAAAAAAAAAAGGAATTAGAGAGTATTACAATGGATTTCAAAACTAACTCAGATCATCAAAAAGACCAAAAAGTGGATGAGGAGTATGGAGGATTAAGTGATGCATGGGCACTTTGGTAGAAGTGGAGGTATTCATTTTGCACATCAAGATCATAGACATCAACACTACTATAATCGGGATACTTAATTATGAAAAATACATCAATTTTAAAACTACACATATTATTTCCTTCTTCAAAGACTGAAAACTTTTAGAGTTCAAAGGGACGCTGAAGATGATCAAATTGAACTAACTTATTTCACTGATGAAACTGAGGATCTGAATGCTATAAGAGCTGCTTACTCAACTACCAGATTAAAGTCCAGCTTAAAATTCAGTTCTTCATTTCCAAAATCCAAGGCTCTTTGTATTCTATCAATTGATTTTGCCTACCTAACTTCAGTATCTGAGAGAGACTAGTTAAAGGGAGACTTTTTAACTTTATAGTAAACATACCATTTTCATGTGACATACATACATGTATATATATACACACACACAGATACATACACACATATAAATGTATATATATGGGGAGGAAAACACTACATATTATTACTCCCGACTGATACAATATAAATAGAATCAGCATAACTGTAGGACTACCTAGACAGAGGCAAATTTTTATACTCCCAATGAGACTTACAATGGACTTCTATTTTAAGATTTTCTAGACAGTCGTCTCCAAGTTGACTCATCCACAGGCCCTGCTCTATGAATTCCCGGCTAGATCTCTGAGGAGATGCATGCCAAGCAGCTAAAATTCGTGAAAACACTGGGGCTGAAAACTCCTGGGGACCCTCGGGGAGGTGGGCGGGACCAGTGCCAGCCCTGTTGAAGCCCCGGCAGCCACACCCACACTGTACCTCTGCAGGCATGCTAAGGGCTCATCCACAGCTTCAGGAATATTCTCCAATTTCAGGCACCCCAGTACCCAGGCTGACAACTCTGGTGTCTTCTTCGAGTCAGGATGGGCGGCCTCTCCCCACCCTCCCGTATTTCTGGAATTTCCAGCAACCACATCCACCTTCCATATCCAAAGCTATACCATGTCGTTGGCCCAGACCACAGATCCAGAAGTCTGTATACGGTGAGGCCACAACACCTCCTAATTCCTAAATATTGAAATTCTAGTAGAAGTGCTCTAAATTAGATGGGAAAGTAATACAGGAGCCAACTCAACTCAACAAACGAAAACAATAACAGAAGGCTCAACTAGCAACACACAGCTTAATAAATTCTAGATGAGGATTTAAGCCTATTATCAGAAATAATAATTTTCACATAAAAATTTGATTTTTTAATGCTGATTTTAATATTGGAGCTTTGTTATCTAATTAAATGTCAACTTTAGAACTGTACCAACAGTTGTGGTTTTATGTACATTAAATTAAAAAAACATTTTCTACAGCATTTATCTTGGGGCCACGCCTAGCAATGCTTAGGGCTTACTCCTGACTCTGTGCTCAGGGATTACTCCTGGCAGGATCTGAGGGACCATATGTGAGAGATATCCATTTGAGGGACCCAACCTGAGTCAGCTGTATGTGAGGCAAACATGTATCTGCTATACTGTCACTCCAGTCCTGTAGAACTGTTAACTGATGTGTTAAGATGAAACGCACATAACATAAAATTCCGTCCCTTAAAGCTGAATCAAGAAGATATAGAGTACCTGAATAGACCTATTCACATCAAGGAAATTGAAACTGTAATCAAAAGTCTTCCCAAAAACAAAAGCCCAGGCCCAGACGGATTTACTAGCGAATTTTTCCAAACATTTAAAGAGGACCTATTGCCAATTCTTCTCAAGCTTTTCCAGGAAATTGAAAAAACAGAAACTCTCCCAAACAGCTTCTGTGAAGCCCATATCTCTCTAATACCAAAAGGAAACAAAGACACCACAAGAAAAGAAAACTACAGGCCAATATACCTGATGAACACGGATGCGAAGATTCTCAACAAAATACTAGCCAATAGAATACAACAACTCATCAAAAAGATCATACATCATGACCAAGTGGAATTCATCCCAGGGATGCAAGGATGGTTCAACATTCGGAAATCAATCAACATAATCCATCATATCAACAAAAGAAAAGATAAAAATCATATGATCATATCAATAGACGCAGAGAAAGCTTTTGACAAGATCCAGCACCCATTCATGATGAAAACCTTGCCAAAATGGGGATAGAGGGGACTTTCCTCAATATAGTTAAAGCCATCTACCACAAACCTACAGCAAACATCATCCTCAATGGGGAAAAACTGAGACCGTTCCCCCTAAGGTCAGGGACGAGACAAGGATGCCCACTCTCTCCACTACTGTTCAATACAGTACTGGAAGTACTTGCAATAGCGATTAGGCAAGAAAAAGATATTAAGGGCATCCAGATAGGGAAAGAAGAAATTAAGCTCTCACTATTCGCAGATGACATGATACTATACTTAGAGAACCCTAAAACCTCTACCAAGAAACTCCTAGAAACAATAGGCTTGTATAGTAAAGTGGCAGGCTATAAAATCAATACCCAAAAATCCATGGCATTCCTATACGCAAATAGTGAAAGAGAAGCAAGTGACATCAAGAAAACAATCCCATTCACAATTGTGCCCCAGAAAATCAAGTATCTAGGAATCAGCTTAACTAAGGAAGTAAAGGACCTGTACAAAGAAAACTACAAAACGCTACTTCAGGAAATAAAAGAGGACACGAGGAAATGGAAAAATATCCCCTGTTCATGGATGGGGAGAATCAACATCATCAAAATGGCAATACTTCCCAAAGCATTGTACAAATTCAATGCAATCCCTATAAGGATACCCATGACATTCTTCAAAGAAATGGAGCAAACACTCCTGAAATTTATATGGAACAATAAGCCCCCACGAATAGCTAAAGCAATTCTTGGGAAAAAGAAAATGGGAGGAATCAACCTCCCTAACTTCAAAGTCTACTATAAGGCAGTAATAATTAAAACAGCATGGTACTGGAACAAAAGCAGAGCTGCAGACCAATGGAACAGAGTTGAATATACCGACATTTCCTCCCAAACATATAATCATCTAATTTTTGATAAGGGGGCAAGAAAAGTGAAATGGAGCAGGGAAAGCCTCTTCAACAAACTGTGCTGGCAAAATTGGACGGCTACATGCAAAAAAGTGGGCTCAGATCTCTGCCTAACACCATGCACAAAAGTAAGATCAAAATGGATTTATGACCTCAACATCAGACCAGAATCCATAATGTTTATTGAAGACAAAGTCGGCAAAACTCTCCATGATATTGAAGCTAATGGTATATTCAAAGATGTCACGCCACTGGCCGAGCAAGTGAAAACAGAGATAGACAAATGGGACTATCTTAAACTAAGAAGCTTCTGCACCTCAAAAGAAACATTGACCAAAATACAAAGACAGCCTACAGAATGGGAAAGGATATTCACCAAGTACACATCCGACAAGGGGTTGATATCAAGGATATACAAGGTACTGGTTAAACTCCACAAGAAGAAATCACCCAACCCCATCAAAAAATGGGGTGAGGAAATGAACAGAAACTTTCGCAAAGAAGAAATTCGAATGGCAAAAAGGCACATGAGAAAATGCTCTACATCACTAATCATCAGAGAGATGCAGATCAAAACCACAATGAGATATCATTTCACACCACAGAGACTGGCCCACATCCACAAGAACAAAAGCATCCGGTGCTGGCGCGGATGTGGCGAGAAAGGGACCCTCCTTCACTGCTGGTGGGAATGCCGGCTGGTCCAACCCTTTTGGAAAACAGTATGGACGACTCTCAAAAAATTAGAATTTGATCTGCCATTTGACCCAGCTATAGCACTCCTGGGAATATATCCCAGAGAGGCAAAAAGGTATAGTCGAAGTGACATCTGCAATTGTTTGTTCATTGCAGCACTCTTTACAATAGCCAGAATCTGGAAAAAACCTGAGTGCCCAAGAACAGATGACTGGTTAAAGAAACTTTGGTACATTTACACAATGGAGTACTATGTAGCTGTTAGAAAAGATGAAGTTGTGAAATTTACATACAAGTGGTACTACATGGAAAGTATCATGTTAAGCGAAATGAGTCAGAAAGAGCGGGATAGACACAGAAAGATTGCATTCATCTGGGGAACATATAGCAACAAAAAGGGAGAGTAACACCCAGGAATGGCTGAGATTAGTACCAGGAATTTTGCTCCATGAATGGAAGGCCAGCCACAGGCTCTAGATGAAAAGGAAGCTCAGATAGAGAAGAGAGTACCAAATGAAGGGTGTTGTGAGGGTCCTCCCAGGGTGGGAGAAGCATGCTAAAAGTAGTCGATAGACCAAACATGATTGCCACTCAAAGCCTCTCTTGCAAAACACAGTACCCAAAAGAAGAGAGAGAGAACAAGGGGGAATACCCTGCCACAGAGGCAGGATGGGACGGGGGGGGGGGGGGAATGAGGGTCGGGGGGGGATGCTGGGACCCATGGGGAAGGATGACGGGCACTGGTGGAGGGATGGGCACCTGATCATTGTATAACTGAAACCCAAGCACAAAATTTGTAAGCCTATAACTGTACCTCATGGTTTTTCACTAATAAAAAAAGAAAAAAAATAAATAAATTAATTAAAAAAAAAAATAAAGTGTACTGCATAGCAGCTCATAGTATTGTGTGGCAGTTGAAACAGTCACAGCCATCAGTCTAATTTTTGAACACCTACATATGCCAAGAAAAAATTCTCTATCATAATACCACTCTTCCTCAATATCTGGGACACCTCACCAATTGTCTCTATGAAGTTACTGTTGCTGGAGTTTAATTTATATAAATGAAATCGGAAAATAAATAATATTTTGTGTCTGACTTCTTTCACGTGGCATAATGTTTGCTGTAGAATTAACACATGATTTTCCTTTGTTGTTTATGTTGCAATCGTGTCAAATAATTGCATCGGTGGACAGAAGGCATTTTTAGGGGACAGAAAGCTAATAGATCAGGCAGGGTGCTTGCCTTGCATGCATCCAATGAGGCTTCAATACCCTAGTGTCTGATGCGGGTTCCCAAGTCCCTCCAGGAAGTATCCCTGAGTGCAATTAGGAGAAAGCTGAGCACTACCATGTGTGCCCCCCAAACCAAACCAAACCAAACCAAACCAACCAAAAGACACTTTTAACTGTAGTTCATAAAAATATCCTCTCTTCCAAATGAATCCCCACAGTTGAAAATGATTTCCATCTACTCTGAATTTATCGCCTTATGTATTTCTCCTTCTATTATCATTCTTTTAAATTTCATATTAATGTTATTTGCATTTTCCAAAACAGTATACGCCCCTTCCGCAAGTGCATCTCATGTTTTTTGAGTGCCAGTTAAACGTCAAACACAGTGCTAGAGTATTCTTGAGGAAAAGTCATACTACTCAAAATACCTGCCATCAAATTAATTTCACTGTATCACCTAAAAATCACGAAGATTTCTCAGATATTCCTCCAGGTCCTCTGGGTGTTTGCCTTACATGCGGCCGGCCCAGCTGACCTGGGTTCGATTGCTCCGCCCCTCTCGGAGAGCCTGGCAAGCTACCAAGAGTATCTGGGCAAAGCCTGGCAAGCTACCTGAGACATATGCTAAATACCGTAACAACAAGTTTCACAATGGAGACTTTACCGGGCCCGCTAGAGCACATGATGAACAACTGGAGGGCAGGCTACAGTGCAACAGTGCTTTCTAAAACTACTCTTTCAACATATCCTAGGTGCCACCGTTACAAAGTTAACATTTCATTAGCTGCCCTGTATTTGCTTACCTATTTAGTAAACTAAATAGGTAAGCAAAACTAAAGGTGGCCGCCCACCTACCAGATGGTCAGACTTCTTCATCCCGATCATGAACGATCGGTTTGAGGCTCTTCATGTTCCCAGAGCGAACAGATGCCATTGGGCTACACTGGCACGCGACAGGGACGAATGGAGACGTTACTGGCGCCCGCTCGAGCAAATCGACGACTAACGGGAAGTTAAGTGATTGATTAAGTGATTAAGTGATTTAGTAAACTCTTTTCTTGCCCTAACCCTTCCCTCCATTCCACTCCAAAGAGAAAATGTCACTGAATTAAGAAATCTAAATTACTCTGATTCATATTTAGTAAATCGGTATTTACAACTTTTTTTCCTGTACCTTGGCTGTACATTTTCCTCAATTGACAAGGACAAGTTTTCCATCTCTTCAGCATTCAAGCCCAGCTCAGTCCCATAGTTCTGCTGCAGCAGCTGCCAGAATTCCTGCCTGCTCAAACTCTGAAATGACAGAAAATGACGATGATAATTCGGCAGGGTAGAAGAGTATAACACAGTGGGTCGAACCATGAATTTTGAGGCCAAGGTGACCTGCTATCCCAGTGCTCCATGTGTGACTTTGGCTGTCAGCTGAACTTTCTAGACTTCTGTATTTATAGACGGAAGTGGCAAAACTTATCTGACTGAGTTACCCCTGAGAATAAATAAAATTATTGTTTTAAAGTGCATAACATGGAAACTACTGTGAGAGGTACGGTGCTCAACTTTTTCTTTTTAGAAAGTAATTTATTCACAGTGTCTAGTAATGGCTAAGTACAATACCAAATATGCATTCCAACGATCCTACCATATCCACTGGAGCCCTATTCACAGCCTGAAACGTGAAGTCAGTACTAGTCTCCTTAATCAGAAAGTATTTTATTATTCTGACCATTTAAAAGCTCTATATACCGGCAAATTTAAATTACATTCTCTTAGGCTATAAAATGCGACAAACTAGAATCCAAAGTATCTTCTTTATATTTTAATAAAGTTAAGCTTGTTCTTTCTTTTTTAGGTATCCTGCCCCTGTTAAAATCACCTGCTGTGAAAAAAATTGTGCACTATACAGCAAAATATAATTATAATAACAATAATAATAATAATAACATCCTCATTTCGAAAACAAATTATAGAGGTTAACTATAGAGTTAAGCAAAGCAAAAGAAGTTTAACATTTGAGGCAACTGGCAAAGACAAGTGAGAAAGAATCTCTAATTCATTTGGAAGATATTATTTAAAACTTACCAAATGTATTTGACTGTACTAGACGCTAAAGAGCCTAAAACAGCACCTTACTCTAAACTCTAAAACAAGTTAACACCTTGCTTTCAAATAACACATGCCATGGTTGAAAAAATACGGTAGGATTTTAAGTAAAGTAAAATATTAAAAGCTATATTATTATTAATATGTTAAAGTCATTGTAAGAAAGATTTTTAAAACTCCATGTAAAAAGTTTAAAGAAGTATCAATATAAATTAGGGGAATCAGAAAAAACTTCACACCGAAGAAGGGTTTTCAGGATTGGGGAAACAGAGAAATGAGGTAATTTTGGAGAGAGAAATTATATAAAAACACAGAAGAACTACCTGAAGAACATAAGTGATACTTGTTCTGAAGTCAGTTAAGTTTATCAGCTGGCAAAATTCTTAATTTGGGGAGCGAGAATAATAGGACAGTGGGAAGGACACTTGCTTTGCAGGTGGCCAATCTGGGTTCAATCCTGGGCACCTCATACGGTCCCCTGAGCCAGCCAGGAGTGATCACTGAGCACAGAGCCAAGAGTCAGCCTCAGCACCACTGGGTGTGCCCTCTTCAAAAAAAAATTAATGGGAATTATAGAGATACAAATATATATAACAGGACCAAAACATTCAGATGCCTTGAATTCCTCAACAATATTCCCTACAACTGTAGCACTGTAGCACTGTCCTCCCATTGTTCATCGATTTGCTCAAGTGGGCACCAGTAACATCTCCACTGTGAGACTTGTTGTTACTGTTTTTGGCATATCGAATACATAACAGGGAGCTTGCCAGACTTTGCCGCGGGCGGAATACTCTCTCAGTAGTTTGCCGGGATCTCTGAGAGGGGCAGAGGAATCAAACCCTGGTCGGCTGCGCGCAAGGCAAACGCCCTGCCCACTATGCTATCTTTCTGGCCCTTCCCTATGACAAGTACCATTTTATTTTATCCTTTTTCCGTATTTCTTCCCTCAGTCTTGTTACTATGGTATCTTTATTACATTATAGTAGATGACCATTGATCACATAATGATATATCATATAACATATATTATATAATACATCATATAATGTAAATGATACATTGTAGTATAATGTAATACTGTTACATTATAGTATTTTATAGTATTTTAAAGAAATTAAGGGCAAAATGTCTCCACTTTAGTAACTGTCAAACAAACAAACACTGTCCTCCCGTTGCTCATCGATTTGCTCGAGCGGGCCCAGTAACATCTCCCTTTTGAGACTTGTTGTTACTGTGTCTGGCATATCGAATACGTCACGGGGAGCTTGCCAGGCTTTGCCATGCGGGCGAGATACTCTCGGTAGCTTACCGGGCTCTCTGAGAGGGGAGGAAGAATCAAACCTGGCTCAGCCAGGCTGGCTGCTCGCAAGGCAAACGCCCTACCGTTGTGCTATAATTAATTTCTAATTTGTCATTCTTAAAAGAATAATTAATGAAGATTTAGTTATTATATCAGTATTCTAAAACATCAAAAAAATCTAAACAATTTCATGTAATAAAGTGTTTCAAGTATATAAAACATCTTACCTCTTTGGTGCTTAATTAATTAATCCAGAATTTTATATTGAACTGATAAGAAATTCTGACTCGAAACATTGTCCAAGAAACAATAACGTTCTTATATTTTATTATTTACTTTATAACCCATGTTCGGTGACCCTAAAGTTTTTTCAATACATTTACATAAAGAAAAAGTAAGCGGATCACTAGTAGTAGAAAAGTTAAAGATCCACCGGGCTTGATCTGAAAGGTACCCCACATAATTCTTATAATTTCCATTCCCTCTAAGTTTTTTTCACAGGCGGTAGCTCATACTAATAGCTGATTCAATCTTACAAAGACCTTTTCTTTGAAATACTTTCAGTGTCATAAACGGAGGATCAAGTTCATAAAGGAAAACAAGCACCAATATATTAATGGAAGATGATTATCTTCGAAAAACTTTTTTTTTTAAATAACGGATATCAAACTGATCCAGAACAGAGTAGAACAAGTTTAAATACGGATAAAGCTTCCCAAGAGTGAAAGAAACAGACCATAGAAAATTTTAAGAATACAATTTTACGTACCTACAAAAATAAATGCTTGAAATATGTTCTTTCAAATCAAGAAATTAATAGCAGGGTAATTTCAGCACACTTCAAAATCTGTTAGATATATGTAACTATGCTAGATATATTATGTAACATACACGTAAATGATTCATTAATAATAGAACTCATTTAATTTAACATTTTACATTGTTAATTTGCCAAAAATAATTTCCACAAATCTGGTCACCAAAACAAAACAAAAAAAAAAATGTGGCTATTTACAACCAGACTGAACCTTTAAACATTAAAACATAAACCTAGCCTGATGGTCGTAAGTCTTGTAATAATGAGCAGCAAAATCAGATGTAAGTAACCTCAAAAAAAACCAAATTAAAAAAAAAAAACCTTGAATTTTAGCAAAAGCTGATCACCTACCTGTGAATAAAGAAGAGTACTTGTTTCAGTCTACAGGGTACTTTAACAAAATAAAGATGAACCGGGCAGCAATCAGATAAGACTTAAAACTCAGAAGATCAATTTCTGGTCCCCGAAGCTTTGTGTCCTAAGTATTCTACAAGGGTGCGATGTCCTGACCTGAAGCAAAGCCCCAAATACTTCGTGACAACTGTAGAGAATCATCGCTTCCATCTCCTAATTTTGCTGTGAGACATTTTTCCTCCTAAAAGACAAGTTCTACTGTCGTGTAAAGCACATTATTCACTACTTCCTGGTCTGTAGTATGAGCAGCCTTCCCAGGTTGCAGGTCAGAATGCAGAATTGGAAGTTATACCTCACTCTACAGGTTCCAAGGCCACGCCTCCAAGAGGAGGAGAGGTAAACACGGGCTTATTAAAGGGACAGGGCCTAATTTCTTCTGCGCCCCCCCCCCCCCCAAAGAAAGAAAAGTCGAATTCCCGTGCCTGTTTTCATTATACAAAATGCCTATTGTAATATTTTTTACGGGCTTCCCGAAACATTTTCTTTTTTTTTTTTTAATTGAATTACCATGAGATCCACAGTTACAAAAGCTGTTCAAGATTGGGTTTCAGTCATACAACGTTCCAACACCCATCCCTTCATTAGTGTATATTTCCCACAAAGTCCCCAGCTTCCGTCCCACTCACCCCATGCCTATTGCAGTATTATGTTAAACTCATATATATATATATATACATATATATATATATATATATCAAGGATTTTCTTTTCTTTTCCAGGCTCTCTATTCAACTCTGGCAGAATCGTTTTTTGCAAATGTTCCATTTCTTCCTCACCAATGCAGCAGCAGGAATCAACTCATTTATTAACCCTTTACAAGATGTATCAAAGGTTACATCCCTTTGTATTGAGTATTGTAAAATGGAATGTAGGAAATAAATACAAGGAAGAGCACCCAATCCTGGTGAAGCAATTCAGCAAGTATGCAGCACATCTTTCAACATTAGAAGGTTCCATATTGCTTGCTCAATAACTATTTTCAAGTTATTTTTGGCCTTATTCATTCATAAAAGTTTTAGGGCAGGCATCTCAACACTGTAGAATGTTTCATCTACTAACTCCCAACTTATTTCCCAGGAGTAAAGTTTCCTTCTAAGTGAAGGATCAAAAGTGGCTCTAATTTCGACCTAATCCTTTCATTTAATTAAGAATGTGTGTGAACGTGACAGGTGCTATCTGATGAACTGCAAACATCAGTCTTGGTGGTGGTGATATGTGTGTGTGTGCACGTGTGTGTGTGTGTGTGTGTGCGTGCGTGTTAAAACTGAGTCATTTTACAGAAGATCAATGAGAGATCAAAATGACACTGAAGAAAATTAATTATTCACTCAGACTGAAGCAATAGCCATTCTATGGGAGCTGACTTCCATTGCCGAAAGACTTAGTGCTTTGGGGACCAGAATGACAACACAGTGGATAGACATTTGCCTTGTGCATGGCTGTCCTGGGTTCAAACTCCGTCCCCCCACATAGTCCCCAAGCCTGCCACACACAATCCCTCAGCTCACAGCCAGGAGTAAGCCCCGAACACCACTGGCGGTGGCACAAAAACACAAACAAAAAGACTACCAAAATACAATCAAAAATGCTTTTGACATATTATGGTAGCTTTCAGTGATTCAAAGTGTAGACAGATATCCTTTGGGGGTGAGGGGGAGG